ACGCGAAAGAAATGGGAATATTAGGCTTGCTGTTAAGCGTCTATTGAGCGTAAAAGGCAACGAAGTGTAACTTCAGTACGTGTCCGACATACCCGAATTGCGGCGGCTCACAACAAGTTCTTTATATAGCCTTATCTAGCCTTCTAAAAGTTATTCATTTGCTTCGAGAAAAGAGTTAACAAGTAAACGAACAGACTTAGGTGAAAATGCTTTTGGACAAAAAGACTTGGACGAATAGACTTTTGGACGAAAAGACTTCTGGACGAAAAGACCGTAATTCTATCAATCACCGTAAGAGAACTTGAATGACGTGTTCAAAACTGAACTGAAAATCAACTTAAATTCTTCAATTCCACATCGAATTGCAATTCGGCTTCGTCGAGAAACCAACCTTTTTTCCCCGTCCACCGCAGTGATTCATTCAAAAGCCTTAAATGGCCAGTATTGGAACTATTCTGATACAGCTTTAAGTTTCAAAAGCCACACAAAAACTGTCACAGATTACTCCTTTTCCTTGGAAAGGAAACAGATTCGAGTCGGCACCCACCACAGAAAATAAACAAAAAAAAAATTCATTTCCTGATATTCGGACACCACCTCCGACGATTTTATACAGAACGTCCTCTCCCCCTCCCCTAATGAATAAAACTTCATTATCAAGTGGTTGTACAGATATAATTTTGCCAATCGTCCAGTGCAACTGCTTACCCATCACTCACGGATACACATACTGATGGACCATGTAAAGATCAGGTTAACAAATCTCTCACTGACGAGTTGACACTTTCGAGTGTGCATTTTCAGCAATCCTTCTCAGTAAGCTCTCTTGGTAAGTTTAAAAAAAGGAAAAAGGAATGAGCCGAAATAACCAAAACAGAAGCAAATGAGCTATATTGTCCCTCCTCGTTCTCAACCCTTCTGAACAATCCATGTAGTCTCTCGGCCTGACGGAGAAGAACTGGGAAAAAGCTTGGAACAGAGGAGTAGAATTCAACATGGCGGCGGATGTGGTTGGATATGAAGGAAAATCACACTTGGCTTTAGAATAAAACCTCGGACAGGAATGTAACTTGACATTTCTAATATTTTAAGCGAATTTTCCAGCATTTGGTGGCATGTGGACCCAAGACAGAGAGAAACGGCGGCTGCAAAACAAAGAAACGAAAGCCACGTTTTTCACGTGAATTCTGAACATTCATGTCAAGAAGAGGTACGTGGAGAAATCCTGCCAAAGGCGGGTTATTTTATTATGTTTCTACAGCCTGATCTTTTGTTTTGCTGGCTTTGCTGGTTTGTCAGTTCGTATGCTAGTAAGCTAAGTTAATGATTAAGCTAATACTTAGCTAGCAAATGATTATGCCCATTCTAGTAAAAATATAAAGTTGCATAATGCGGTAAATTTGATAGTAACTCAGAAGAACTATGGGTACCTGGGTGTGTGTGTGTGTGTGTTAAAAAAAAAAACAGGAGCCTTTTTTTCGTAGCACCATAGTACTGATATGTTTCCTTGCGAGTTTATTTAAACAGCATAAAATTAAATGCTGCCTGGATTAATATTATTATTAACTGATTCAAGTATCAGCTTGTGTTCTTCAAGACACATTGCATAAAGCAGGTGGAAAAATTGGACAGCTCAAAATAAGCACTCAAACCTTCTAACTGGTTAAACTTCTAACTGGATGCACATGTGCATCAGTTAAATGCATGGAATCATGGTTTAGCATGTCATTATACTGCAACACCCTTCAGATTGAATTCATTGGGTCAATGCTAAATTAATATGTGATATTGCTTGAGCAATCAACCTGAATTTTCTGTAAGATTTGGACATCCTTCCAACCGACAGTGCTTGTTAAGTTGTTAGATCATCGAACTAAAATATTATTTTAGCACATTTTTAAGCACTAAATTTCGTGATTTCACAAAAAAAAAAATTGAGAATAAAGGTTAAGACAGACCATTACAAACTCCCTATCTGGCTTTTGTGGTCATGTCACATTATCAAATTTCTAACAGCCAAGTCAGAAATTTGATAATGTGACAAAGGGTCTCAAAACTCATTCCAACACCCATAATAGTCAAATGTAAAATCAGGCTAACTCTTGCGAGATCTGTTCACAAGATGAATGCACCTCATATACATCTTTCATGGTCAAATCAAAGAACCACATCTTTCATATCAAACTGGATGCCAGCAGTTCAGCCTTATATTGCCCTTGAGCTACTTGGAAAATGTCATAACACAACTTGCGGAGATTACTTCATTCATTCATTCATTTATTCACACTTATTCTACTAAAAATACAACAACGAGAAAGAGAAAAAGTAGAAAAAAAAAAAAGAAGAGAGTTCTAATTATACATGAATTTACACAAAGCAGTGGAAAGAGTGTGTAGTAGCCAAAGGAGCCAAGCTTTCAAGTTGGCCACTACCACAGAGCAGTTATGGATGGGTGAAAGTTAAATACACTTGAGGAGATAGCACATAAAATTATACTAAATAGTTAAAATAGTAAAATAGAGCTCTATGATAAGTTAAAGTTGTTCAAGATGTCTGCCTGCCAAGTAGGAAGAGTTTATATTCTTTTTTAAAGCTTTTGGCAGGGAGACACTTTATTTTAATAGGTATCAGTTATTTTTACATTTTTTATCTCATTTTGTTAATTATTATTGTTATTTTATGTCTTGCATGATGGCCCCCCTTTGCAAGACTAATAAATGTAGATGTAGATGTAGATCATTTGCCAGATCTGTGATGTCACCACACTAAATCTTGCTAGACCATAATTGGTTCTAGAGAACGGTCTGTACAAGTTTTGATTAGTGGCATACCTAGTAGAGTAATTATGGATAGCTGAAGCCGGTTGGGCTAGATCATAGAGGACTGGAGGTACATTCTTTTTTTGATGCACAAGAGAGCCAATTTTTAATTTAAAAATATTCTCTAATCTTAAGATTTCTAATAGTGTGAAATATGGTGTAGAACTTTCTCTTTTGCTAGCAAAGAAGATGCGGCGGATACCGTTGTTTTGACTTATTTTGATTTTATTTAACCTGGTCTGGTATGCAGTTCCCCAGCACATCAATCCATATGTTAGACATGGATATATGAGAGTATAGTACAGTTGTTTGGGTGTGCTCACAGGTAAATAATGTCTAAGCTTAGATAGAATTCCGATGTTTTTTGTTATTTTATTGTTTATGTGCTGGAGCTGAGCATCCCATTTTAAATGTTCATCAGTAAAAACCCCCAAATATTTTATCTGAGATTTTTGTTCTATATTGCAAGCTGTTATTCTGATATTTGGTCTCTTTTTAAGTGAAGTAATAATCATATAATTAGTCTTCTTGAAATTAGTTGACAGCATATTATTTTGCTGCACAGTATTTTAAGACTTTTCTAAGTTCTTCATCAATAACTGATTGGAGCTGCTCAGGGTCTTTTGAAGAATAAAACATATTTGTATCATCTGCAAAAATCCTAAGAGTTAATTTCTCTGAAGACCTAGGCAAATCGTTAATATACAACAGAAACAGCAACGGACCTCATTTGGAGCCTTGGGGTACACTGCATGTAATAGTTTTCAGGCTAGATTCTGTATTACCAACTATGACATATTACTTATGATTAGTTATATAGCTCGAAAACCATGCATGGGGGACTCCTCGGATCCCATATTTGTATAATTTTCCTAAGAGAATATGATGGTTAATTGTGTCAAAGGCCTTAGAAAAGTCTAAGAATATACCACATGTAATTTGTTGACTGTCAATTGCTGACTTCAAGTTCTCTACAGTTTCGAGAATTGCATATTCCATGGAATATCCCTTTGGAAAGCCAAATTGATAGTTAAAAAGGAGACATTCTTTTTCTAAATAGGACACAAGCTGGTCATATACTAGTCTTTCCAGTACTTTACTGAAGGGAGAAATAACTGCTATTGGTCTATAATTACCTAACTCAGATACAGTACGGCTTTTAAGTATTAGGGTTACTTTTGATATCTGAAAGACTTCAGGAAATTCCCCTGATGATTTTGACTCATTGTAGATCTCAGTGAAGGGTGCAGAGAGCTGTTCAGCTGCAAGTTTGATAAGCTTATTAGGAACAGTGAGTGATGCTTTATTTTCTTTTAGCCCAGCAAACAATGTAAACACTTGTGCTAGGGTTGCTGGAGCAAGGTAGAAGCTGTTTGATGGTGTAGATTCTATGTATTGCAAAGGGTTTGTATGATCGGGTTTAATTTTCTGTGCTAAAGTTGGCCCAATGTTGACAAAGAAATTATTGAATAATTGAGCAATGTCCTTTTCTTGTGAATAAGTCCTGTTATTATGACTGAGTAATTTTTGTAGGGAAAGTTTGACCTCTTGTTTTCCTTTTAACAAGAGTACCGATAAGTTTCCAAGTTTGTTTAAGATTATCGTTGTACTTTGAGAATTGCATGCTATAATAGTCTGTCTTACTTTTATTCTTAAGATGTGAAAGAATAGCTGCATAATGTTTATATTCCCTTTTTTTGGGGAGACATTGCTTAAGTAATATGTACGGTACATTTTCTGTTTCCTTTTTACTGATTTTAAAATAGCCTTAGTGAGCCATGGCTTATTAAGTTGCTTTTGTTCGCTTTGGCTAGCCAGCCTGATAGGTGCATGTTTGTCAACAATTTCATTCAGGATATTAATTGTCTCCCTTAGCTTCTCATTTAAATTATTTTGGGGATTAAGGATTTCATGCCAAGCAATCTGATTTATATCATCCAAGTATAGGTCTTTCTTAAATTTAGAATAGTCTCGAAAATATATTTTATTGTCATTGTTCCATGTGGGCTGGGTTTTAACTATGCAGAAAATGGGGAGATGATCTGTTAAATCAACTGTCAGGATTCCTGCTGTAAGTTTTTTAAAACAATTTGTATATATATGGTCAATGAGTGTTGCTGTATGATCAGTAAGCCTGGTAGGTTTAGTAATGATTGGTAAGATGTTGTTGGCATAGAGCATATCTAAGAATTCTTCAGTTTGGACGTGTGTATTAAATTTCAGGAAATTTATATTCATATCTCCAAAGATGTAAATTTCATGCCTATTGGATCACCTCTCACAAAAAGGGAAAATCCTTTACGAAATGCTTTGAGAGCAAAATATAATTAGAAGGTGATAATGTGATGCAATCACAAAAGCCACATGGGGAGAGAAATTGCTGGTCTGTCTTTACCTTTATTCTCTGATTGGCCAGCAAACAATGAAGCTGCATCATTGCCCACTCGTGCGCTTAACTGTGAATCCTTCCCTTTAAGCAATAGCAATACAGTCAACCCTATCATTAGCTGACACCCTCGGGAATTTGAAAAGTGTCCATTAATGGAGCTCTTGCCCACAAGAATTATTCTCATGAGCAGAAACCAAAGGAAAATTGGATGGATGTCTGTTTATGGGAGAGAAACAAGATGGAAAGTACACTGTAGACCATGACAAACATGGCCAATTAACATGACAGTATAAATTATGGTTATGTCGGACTCCTGCTAATTTCAAATGAACAAACAGCTTGCTGTCCTGTGGAAATGGAAATTTTATAAAACTGATCTCAACTGATCTCCGCTGATCTGTTGCCTTGTGAAAGGTCATATTTTTGTTGATTTGCAAATTAAAGGCAAATTTCATTGCTGAGAGTCAATTATTATGTATGGGGTGCACGTGGCTACTTACAAGAGAGTGTAAACAAAACAAATTTTCACTTTTAAAAGTGTCTGCTTCCATTTATAAGAGAGTGTCTGCTCCTGGGAATGTGTAAATACAGCATTTGAGTGGGAGGCAAAACGGGTAGTTGAATAAAGTATCTTGTAAGTTGGAAATTTTTTCTTCATCAGAATAGAGGTATGTTAGTTGCAAAAGTTCCACTTTTAAAATTTTTCTCCAATGTGCAAATTCAATTCTAAACTCAATAAATTTGATTTCACTGCATTGTGACAAATGAAAGCAGAGAAATAAAAATAAAAAACATTTGAGCAGTGCATAGAACTTTTGACCCTTTAAATCCCAAAAGTGACCAGCAATTAATTCCTCACTTATGATACACAATTAATTCCTCCTTACAATAACACTGCTGAATCATTCATAAAGATCATGAAAATAAAGGAAAGGATCACAACTTAACTTGAGAAGCTGTGATTGTTAAATGAATTACCCTTGTCTGTACCAATGGAAATGTATAGAGAAACAAATGGAGAATATGGACACTATTATAAGGATGTAAAAGGTTTAATTACGAATGCTAAGCTATTTTCTTGGTGACAAAGTATTGTGCTTTTGACAGAAATTATTTTCATTGCCTCTCCTAAAATTAGAACTTCAGAGAGGCTTCATCAAAATCAACAGCAAGTGTGAAAAACCCCTTGGCAAAAACTTTGAAGTACAAACTCCAAATTCTTGAACTACAGTATGAACATATGCAGAACTTTACACTGTACTTTGTGGTGTTTGTTGCCTTGTAAAGAAGAAGAACAGGAAAATTTTGACCAGTTCTTTGAAGCAACAGAAAAAGTGGCTATCATTTTTATAACCAAGGGATAGAGAAGTCTAGTTGAGCTGTTTCACTTTTATCATGCAACAAAATATAGATCTTGGGATATGCAACCTTTCACTTTAACTGCTGTTAAATATTATGATTCTTACCAATCAGATGATGCTTACTTTGTGTGGTAATGTTAGAGGTTTTTGTTGAGTGTACAACTGATGCATGGAGAGATAGTTTTATAACATTTTCAACAGCCTAGTTTAAATGTTTTACTAAGAGAGAAATTCCATCTACTTTGATTCAGTGTCTTCACATAAATTATCTCATCAATGTGCATCATGGGTAGATGATGCTTTCTTGTGACTTTGTAACCTTTATCAATTAAGAAAAGCATTAATTTTGTAAGTTATGTGCTTATCAATTGAAAGCTTTAACATTCCCTCTCGCAGGCAACCCATTGGCATTTGAGGGCCTCTGTGCCTAGGATGGGGAATTTTCAACCTTGCCTGGGTGGAGTGGGGCATTTGAATCAGAAGAGTCTAGTCTTTCCAGCATCATACACATGTTTTAATGGAGGAGTTTGAAGGTTAAGGGTCTGTTTTCATGAACAAATGGCTCAGAGAGATAATTTTACTTCACTGAATGATGCTTTCAAGGGAAAAACCTAACTGATGGTTGTATTTTTCTTGTTACTTAACAGTTTTAAAAAGTTTGACAAGTCTTTCAAAGTATGATGGTTTTATTGTCATTTGTTTTCAGAAGATTTTTTCACACTAAAGAAGTAGAAACAAGACCAAAAATAGAAGAGTTTTCTAACCAGAGAATTGTGAAAAAGAGGAATGTTCATGCTGTTTTGCAATAAGAAAAGGTACCATTTACTCTAAAGAAGATATTTTGCCTTACTGTAGTGCATTTCATGCTAAATCATGAAGGTATTTCAAATGATAGTGGATGGTGTGTTATTTGGTTTTCTTTACACTTGAGAGGAAATTAAATTTTAAGCACTCACCCCGTTGATGAATAATTTGCATGAACAGTTGAGTGATTGGAGACTAATGCGCTGACTGGCCGCTGATGGGCTGATTCTGTACTTGACTGACCCGTAGACTAAGTGGTCAACTGACTGGCTGGTAGGCAGACTGTCTCTGTGGCTTACTGACAGACCGACCTCGTGGTTAGTCGACCAAGTGTTTGAGACACTGGCCAGCTAACTGACTTACATATAGTAACTGACTGGTTTGGTAAGAATATGCCTATTTGATAGGGGAAAGAGACAGCTTACAGTTTACCAAAATGACTAAGTCCACTGATTGTCTGACTGGGCGAGTGACTGAATAATGCATGGGCCGACCGTCTTGCTGATTGACTCACTGCCTAATGCACAGGCTGACTGAGTGCCTGACTGATGGCTGACTTACTGAAGAACTTAATGACATGGTGTTCTGATCAGTTGATGTTCTTGCTGTTTGACAGATTGACTCACTGAGTGTTGGCTTGAATGTCTGATTGGCTTACTGCTCTGCAGAGAGATTCATTAATGGCTGATGTATGGCTTTCTTTTTTTTAAAATTCATGCAGCTCAGTATGCCTCTATATCATGGATGAAGGTGCCTAGGTATTTGTAAGGACATCAGTCAGATTGGAGGAGTGTGGTTTTTGCACACTATCAAGACCTTCAAAATAATACATGGCATTGACAAGACATTAATTTTAAGAGGAGACAGATGGGATAGAAACCTCACAGGTCAGTGTGTAAACTAATAAACTTATCTCAAAGATGCAATATAATTTTACAAAAAAGGAAAAGCTTGAAATACTCTCTGGTACAGACTGTTTAGATCAGTGAGGCAAATACATTGAAATCTGTCAAAACGCACATACGCACAGGCACTTTACCTCAGAGATTCAGATGTAGGTTTCCCTTGCTAAGGTGCACTATATTTTTTGGGAAGGGAAATAAATCCAGTTTCCAAATTTTTTATGTGGATCTAAAAAAGGGAAAAAACTTGAAATACTCTCTGGCACTGGATGTTAAGATCAGTGGGGCAAATGCACTGAAGTATATACACAACTACCTCACCATGGAGATTCAGATATAGGTTTTCCTTGCAAAAATGCACCATATTTTTTGGGGAGGGATAAAAGATCCAGAAAAAATTGAAACTAAATGTAGGGAAAGAAAATTACCTTAAAAATAGAGATTTAGATTGATGCAGGAGTACTTGAAATAATAAAATCACATGTAGCAGATTCTGCAGAAAACAGGAAATGTGAGGAGAGTACAAAATTTTTCAACCTCCCCTCCCCCTTCCCCTCCCCCCCGTGGCACTTCAACGTGAAAACGTCATAATCAGTGCTCATTCCAGGTTCACTGGAATGGCTGGTATTGGTAATGATTTTTCATGCTACTAACTGGCAGATACTTTGCATGACTGACTTCCTGAAAACTATCTTCTGTTGATTCTTGTGCTAAAATTTGAAAAACTACAATTCATGAAGCTGTAGGCTGGTAAAAAAAAAAAAAAAAAAAGACATGTCATGAAATAAGACCGTATCTCGTCCATTCGTTTTCCCTTTGTTTGAATCAAAACAGAACCAGTCGCATTTTTGAAGGTATTTATTTTGGTGTAGTTCATTCTTAGTTGATATGTGCTCTGCATTACAGTGTGTAATTAGTATTTCAAAGATTGAGAACAGTTTTCACGAGTTTCGAAGTTTGGAAATGAGAATAAACGGTATTCATGTTACGCGGTAATTGATGTTATATTATGTGGTTCTTGTTTCAGTGTTTTTGGTTGTTTGTAATAGTTTTCATGTTGTTGAATTTAATATGTTCACTTAGGGGTCTTCGCATTCGAGGTAGCTCTTTGCCTTCACTTAGTGTTTTATCATTCCGGTTTATTTCTCTTGATGAATGTTGCGAGTGTAAAGGTTTTGACATTATTTTTTTTTATTTTCCAATTTATTTCAGATTTTGGAAGGAAGCATAGACGGAAATGGCTACAAGATCATTTTTACGTCTAAAGGAGGGCATAGTAAGTTTTCTTTTTCTTACTGTGATTGGGATTTGATTTAATTTTTTTTTTTTTAATGTAGACTAAGAGGTGTCACCTTTTCTTACCTTCCCCACTTCCAAGAGATATGTTTGAGAAATAATTTGACGTCGGGGTTACCGGGTTTCTCGATCTCCTTTGTTTTGTTGAGGACAACAAGGAAATGACTGTACCAAGGTTTAGTTCGCACGTGCTGAGCCATTATTCTGCTCATTAAACAGTAAATTTTTGTTTCGCCACATTCTCGTTGCCATCATCGCCCTGGTTGCGTAAGGTCCCTATGATATGGTGCAGGCAGAGTTTGGAGTTGGGTAACGTGCTAATCTGGTTGCGATTAGCGTAAGATTAAAAAGTTATAATTAACATTAGTGCTATTATTTTCTTCTTCCAGATACTGCAAAGATCATGAACAAGTTTGAAATGGAGTTCTGAGTTATTTTGGTGAGTGACTGAGTGAGTGATACGATTGCTGTGTTATTGTGGAACCTTCCAAACAATAAAGGCCGATAGTTTCTAAAGAAACTGTTTGGGGCTGCGTCGGTGGGGGTAACGAAATAATTTGAATATAACAACAAAGTTGAAATGGTAAATTGGCCACCGTTACGATTATAAATGCTGACGTTTCGAGCGTTAGCCCTTCGTCGGAGCGAAAGACGAAGGGCTAAAGCTCGAAACGTCAGCTTTTATAATCGTAACGGTGGCCAATTTACCATTTCAACTTTGTCGATATATTCAAATTACTTCCAAACAAGTCTGTAATTCGTGAGAATTAACCGTTTGGTCATTTGCACCAGTAAGTATTTTCAGATTCTTTGAGTGCTAAATTGTTTTCATTGAATCAGAAATATGAAATTCTCGCTTGCATTTGCGTCCTCATTCTGAATTGCTATACTCACCTTTTGAAATATTAACTGTGCGGTTAATTAATCTTAAACAGTACACTTGGACTGGTTGGGCAGGACAGATGTTTTATTGATTTATTGCCATTTACAGATGACTGGAAAAAATTATTTATGGTATTTGTGTTGTACAGTTTCCTTCAGATCGTAAAAGGAGGACAAGAAAATGGAAGGTCCAAGTTTCAGACTTCAGTTTGACCAAAATTTTTCATCGCATGAACTCCTCCTTCAACATCATATGACCATCATCGTTGCATATGTGGAAAAGCAACAGGATGCGTAGAGGGTCTTAACAGGGTTTAACCGTCAGCTGTCAGAGGGCTTAAAATGTAACTGTCAGCCGTCAGAGGGCTTAAAATGTAACTGTCAGCCGTCAGAGGGCTTAAAATGTAACTGTCAGGCGTTAGAGAATGACAAATCCGAAAATAGCTGAATATTTCTTGTAATACGCATGTGTATTAGGACAGACATTTGCTCTACAAGAAAAGCATGCGTTTTCAAAAGAATAATGTTTGTACCACAAAGTAGACAACTTATTAAAACACTTAAACGATGCCTTTGAAGAGTGGGCATGGTGGGGGAGGATGGTCGGACGAAAAAGAAAAGACTAGAATTTTAATATTACTGTACTAAAAGATATCACTGACTAGAATTATTGTAATATTACTGTACTAAAAGATATCACTGACTAGAATTATTGTAATATTACTGCACTATAAGATTGTAAGAGGAATATTGTAAAATTACTATTGTTATAGACATGTACATTAAAGGATTGTATTGTAATACTGTACTGTAATATCAGATAATAACTTACTAGAATTATTGTAATCTTACTGTACTATAAGATATAACAGACTAGAGTTATTGTAATATTACTGTACTATAAGATATAACAGACTAGAGTTATTGTAATATTACTGTACTATGAGATTGTAAGAGGAATATTGTAAAATTACTATTGTTATAGACATGTATATTAAAGGTTGTATTGTAATACTGTACTGTAATATCATCAATTGACTGTTTTAAAAGATATATAAAAGATATACTAATTTAATTGACGGGTGTGGGAAGGGAACCGCTTTTGGTTAATTTTCCAAAGTAGATAGATATCTGTTCTAAACTTTTTAATGGAGGCGGCTTTGTTGGGAAATGGTGAACGAATGAAACCCCAATTTTTTCATTTTATTCTCTGAATTGGGGGTCGATCCAATTTAGCTTCTTTCGATTATTAATATTAGTCATCCAGCTTTGAGTGGTCCAAGAAACCTGCGAAACAAGGAAATAAAAATTAAGACCAAGAATTCGAGTAATTAAAAACGTTATCCGCCTTCATACTTTATCAGACTTGGAAAACAAACGGAAACAAATTTTTCCTTCCTTCCTTGGCTGACATTCTTCCTCACTCCCTTACTTGAGATGGCCATCTCTCGTGAGATCTAAAAGCTATGATAAAGAGACCTTCAGAGGAGCCATACAACTTGACAAAAACTAGGTGAAAGGTCAAAAAGATTTCAAAATAACCTGGTTCTTTCTATCACATTCCTCATCAAAATTGAATGTAATAATTTGGATATATCAACAAAGTTGAAGTGGTAAATTGAATGTAAATGTGCAGACCAACTTTACTGCTCAGAAATACCCCAGTAACGTTTCATTCAAATTTGTGAGTCTTGTACATCGCATAATGAAGTAGACAGCTCGAAAATTTCAGACGAAATAAGGATAAGAACTTACTCCAGTTAGCTCCCGATATCCATTTGAGAACTTGCCAGCAAACTGTCACCAAAGCTATCTCACCTCTCGACTTCGTCTTTACCTTGAAGAAAAGGAGTATGCAAAAAAAATAAGACGAAATGCAATTTTTGATTTCCTCAACAATAACAGGTGGGTTGGCCAATTAACAAAAGGCAACACATGCTTTCCAGTGTCTTCCCAGTGTTTGATCGTTTGGCGCAGTGGTTTATGACGCGATTAGAAATCTAAGCTTCAACTCAAAACTCAAATGCAACCTGAGAAATTTTCTTATACATTTTTTTCCCGGAAAAATCAAACTGCACTCGAAATTTATCTTATTGGAAAGGACAAACTCTTTTGGTCAGAGAAGAACGATTTACAACAATTGTTCTTTATGCCTTGACGTAATTCATTTCCGACAAAAAGGGTCAAATTGGCTAGACCTTTACAAAAGAGGAGCAGCGCCCTTGAAAAGAAAGATAATTTTTACAGGTGTACGTTATAACAAATAAAACGCGTTGCGATAAAAACCAGTGACTACCTTTTTCGCTTTCACAGGTCTCTTTAACACTTGACGACGACGAAGCAATTCTAAATTTGAATTAACTAGTTCTTTGTCCTATGAGTCAGAGGCATTGAGGTGATTCTTGAAAGTACCCCCAAAACGTTACGTTGGTATATTTTCGGATCTTTTTTTAGCATCCCAGATCAAGACTGAGGAAGAGACTTAGCGGGTGAAGCTGACTCCATTACTGGGTCAGTTATTAGTCACCCATCTCTTGTACACAGTTCAAGATCCCTTCAGCGCAACAAGACAGTCCAGATTCCAAAACAGCTTTCACACACTTCTCTTTTGTTTTTTGGTGGACCAAGTCTTAGCATCTCAGATGATAAGAGCAAGAGGCTCTGTGAGTGAAGCTGACTCCATCACTGCATCAGCTATTAGACATCCACCTTTTGTAAACAGTTCAAGATCCAAAACAGTTGAGTTTTGTAAAAAGCTTTGTCTTTTCTTTTCCTTTTTGAGGGACTCTGAATTATTTCAAGTTGTAACTGCAAGTTCAAACAACCAACCAAAAGACAGGGGGGTCACCTAAGTAAAAAACAATGAGAAATGGTTAATAAGTATTCAAAATGCATTATTAATTTTAAGTTGACAGTTCCTCAATACAAATGGGCTTCTGGTCTTAAAGGGGAGGGGGAAGTGGAAAATAAAGGAAATCAATTCATCAACATGATATTGTAGAATAGCAAGATCTGAAACAGAGTTATCTGGTTGCAACCCTCTAAATTGTAACCAACATAAATGCCATGATAATGTTTAAATAACAGACAACTTCAATAGAAAAAAACTAATCACCTTTGGTCATAAAAGACAAGAAAAATTGAATAAAAAAGGACAAAAATTTTAAAACAGTGTCCTTTTTCTGGTCTAATAATTGCAAAAAAAAAATAATTATGCCAAAAACTCCACCCTAAAACATCATCTATTCAAAGTGTTTTGGAATCAAAATAAATGTTTTCCAGGCATGTGCCAAGTGTCAATTGAAACTTCTTTTTCAATGACCATATGGGAATATTGGTCAGCCAAACATTGTGTTGGTCAGATTTTTTCTCTGAAGCCAAAGTGGGATTGTGGATATATTAATTTACTCCTAATCAAAAAATAATTGCTAGAAGTGTAAATGTAGACATGAAGAAATGACTAAGTATCAGCTTAAACTTGACTGTAGGGTGGGCTCACAATGGCACTGTGACAGGAGTTTTGAGCCAGTTGTTGTTGTTGTTGTTTTTTTTTTTTCATATTTTCCTTTGGGTAATAAATAGATAACTAAGGCCCACACACAAGCCATGACATGGTTGCCACAGTCATAAGATTTTTAAGTCCCAAACTCCTGTTACAGTAATTAAATTGGTTGAAAAGAAATGCTCTATAAGAGTACAGTACAGTGCTTGGAGCTGAGCTAAAGCTGTCATGCCATCTGCCAATTTGTAATGCCTAGCTTACTTGAAAGTGAAATTTTGGAACAAGTGAGCCAGCAAGTAGCAACAGAAGAACCAAACAAAGGTTTGAGAACATGCCAAGCACCATAATTTGCAGTCTTAATGATGTGTGCCTAGACAAAAATCCTCATAGAGAAAACAAAATGGACAGTCTGAGTTTTGAAGATTTTCATGCTCAGTTAGATTATAAACTTACCTATGGTATAAAATTCACCTTACAAAAATAATAGTATATCTAGTTTCGTGTTAAAAATCAATACACAACAAAACAGGAGTGAAGAAACTTGAAAATATATCCAAAATGGCACGACTTTTGAAATTCATACCAATCATGACAATGTCATAGCCTGATGTGAGGTCCATTGCAGCTTGCTCGTTGTGGAAATGTCCAGTCATCACAGTGAAGCGAGCCTCCGAAATTTGCATTGGCCCCCCTTCTATTGAACTGAGCTAAGACCTTGCTCTGATATCCTTTCCAATACCTTGAGTGGAAGGCCACATCAGTCACTTCAGCCAAGTTTTGCAGCACTGTCATCCAGAGAGATTTTCTTATTCCTATGAATTCAGCTGTCATTAATCATAAAACACAAGCCTTGAGCAGTTTTTTTTTTCTAACTGTCATGTGAAAAAAACTTGTGTGTTTTTAACAGCTGCAATTCAGCCACATTTTGCTGAACATTTCACTTTCAGATTCTGTATTAAGACTAAAAAAACTTCAGGCAAAAGTGATTAATTTGACCTGCCGACCTATTTCAGTTTGTGAACTTTGATCATTTAGCAACTTTGATCATTTGACATTTTTGACAGCTTTAGTCTTGTTCAACCAATCAAGTTGCTTGAACCATTTTAAAAAGGATCCTGATTGGCTTATTGTGGCCTGCTTTAAGAGAGTAGAGAGCATGCTCAGGCTGACGACACTGTGGTTCACTTTGGAAATGTTAATGTTAAAGTTTTTGTAGGCGCCTTTGAACAGTAGGATACTGGCGGGGTATAAATATTTTATTATTATTATTATTATTATTGTTATTATCATTAAATAAAGTTAAGTTTTGTTTTGAAAATTGAAATGATGAATTGAAAGCTGTGTACTAAATACAGTCAAACCTGTATAAGTAGTCACCTATTGGGAATAGCAGGGTGACCCCTTACAAAAGTTTGAGTACTAAATACAGGTTCCACAGAATAGGGTATTATATAGAAAATGCTAAAAAAGTGCCATTTTGTGCCATAATTGACCTCTTAATGTACAAAGACTTGCTTGGGAAAATTTCTACCATTGATTTTTACTTGAAATTTTACTTGAAATATTTTTCTTAGTTGTATTTGAGTGGTTCCATTTTAAGTGACCATTCAATACAAGTGGAAGACAATACAAACAAGCCATTGGGACTAACATTCAAAGATGAGCACATCCACTAAATTGAGGTGAGAATGACAGTAATTAGTGGGTGACAAATTCTGTACTTTGACAACTGCCCGCTTAATACAGGATGACTGCTTAATGTAGTGCCACTTACTACAAGTTCAGTTGAAACTGACTTTCTCTTTTTCACACAATTATATTCACAATCTATCATCATGCAATGCAGTAAGTCATCATTGTGCTACACACATTTTTAATCAGCCAAATATTTCTCTGGTGTACCTGTAGTTTTACATTACAATGCACAAGTTCCTGGATTTACGATCCCATCAGAAAATTTTTTTTATTGCCTCCATGCTTCAAGTCACAAGAACCAACAGGTAAATATTATAGGAAAATTTATCACCTGAGGAGGGAATTCTGCGTGAAACTGCATGCCAAAAATAATGAATCAAAATAATGAATCACATGTATCAAATAGGCCTTTTGCAGCTAGAGATCGTGTGCTTAGATACCACATAGCAACGCCATACTGGAGAGCAAGCACTCCATGCAGTGATCTCAGACAGTATAGAGGTCACAGAGGTCTGCATTCAAACAAAGAATACAGCGGATAACAGGTCAAAAGGTATCCCAATTCGAGAAATCCAGTAAGAAGTAATCAACAGCTTCCCCGGAGTGTATCAGCAACAAAATCACACCAAAATTCGTTTTTCGCTGATAAACTCCAAGGAAGCTGTTGATTAAAACTTACAAGATTTCTTGAATTGGGATACCCTTTAACTTGTTATCCACTGTATTCTTTGTTTGAATGCAGACCTCTGTGATCTCTATTTTGTCTGAGATCACTGGAGTGCTTGCTCTCCAGTATGACGTTGCTATTCGGTATCTAAGCACGTGATCTCTAACTGCAAAAGGCCTATTGCAAAGCAATAAGTACGAAATCAGTTTTCTAGTGTGATTTAACAAGGAATTCATGAGTCAGGTAGTGGATTTTCCTTGAATTGCATAGTTGAATTAAAAAAAAAGAAAAAGAAATCAGCAATAGTGTTGTTTGTTTTTATCCTGAGCACGAAAAAAGAGATGCGGCACAATATCACTTAGCTTTGTTTTCAACTCACAAGTTCATGCTAAATACCTGGCTTTCTTAACCATTCAGAATGTGAAATCTTATCCAATTACACAATTCTATCTGGTAGTTTAAAAATTAATGAAAATCTTGGGTAAATATCAGTGATAAAATCCATAAGCTGTAACAACATGGTTAAAAAATTTATAATTTAATGTATGGTTCACAAATTCATGACCGGCTATGTAGAAAAAGGCACTTTTAGAGCCACAATACAGAAGAAATTTAACCATTTCGACACAAAATCTTGCTTTTTGAAATGTTAAGTTTAACCAGCTAAATTTGATTTGGTAAGAACAGGCTTTCATAGAAAGTTAAATTAATTTCAGAATGTGTGATATGGATTGTGCCTCTCAATTGAGTGCTTATATACATGCCATTGTAGGTAAAAGCAGAAAAATCAAAGGAGTTAGTTTTTTCAAGAAATATTTGCAGGGGAAAGCCACTACTCTCTTATGTTTATAATGTGCTTCCCCCTTTTATAAAGCAGTTTTAGGTGGGTATGTTTATAAAACACATAACTATTTCATTTGACCAAACAATTGCATGAACTCTGCTCATCAAAATAATTATTTCACTGACAAAATGAACAGTTCTGTATTGTTTTTCTTTTCTTTTTTTTTTTTTTAAATAAGTTTTCAAAAGGTAAAAACTAGACTCAGTGCATCAACATAGTTTTATGGTCTAAAAAACTATATAGTCAACTGACCCTAAGGAACTATCAAAAACGTTCTCTCTTGCTCAAGGAAAGTTTGTGTGCCTTCATTTGTCAAGTCTGCCCGCTACGAACACAGCTCCTCTCGTGTTTTCAATTCTTAACCCCCAAGAGTAACTAGCATCTAATTCCTCCTTCCAACAACACCCCTGAATCACACATTGAGGTTACAAGAAAAAAGGAAATGATCACTTTAGAAGGTCTTGAATGTCAAACAGATTCTTGTTAACTGTACCGTGAGAAATGTTCATGTATAGAGAAGAGTATGGAGAATATATATGTGTGTCAATGTTAGGATGTACAGGGCCATATAAAATCGCAAACGCTCGGACAACATCACCCTATTTCACCCAGGCTACAAGCTTACTCAGAAGCACAGAATATAACTTGAGATAGAAATAAATTGGATGGAAAAACCATTTTTCCATGCAGTTATCGAGTTAAAGTCTCATTAAGCTCTCTTACCTTCATCAACACACTTGATCTCCATTTGATGTTCCGCAACCAGTGTTGCTATTTCCCCCCCACCCCCCAGAAAACCACAGTACGAGAACAAACATGTTATGAGAGGCAGCTGATATTCGACTGGCTACCTTTTTCCTAGTTTTGTACAAAAAAATAACAAGTTAAATTGACGCCCCGCACGTCTAGCCACGTCGCCATGTTGGCTTTACTACCCTTATGCTCAGTATTTCTCGGCAAAACGCGTCACGCTACACGAGAAATTGCGCGTCGACACGCAAATAACCACGCCAGTGTCCACAAAACTGTTCCGTCTGCACGTCCTAGTAATGTAACTTGAGATTCCGTTATTTTACGCCTCACGGCGAGAGGAATAAGAGTACTTTGGTGTATGGAATGTTTATGGCAGGACATTGGTTTGATTCACGGACACGAGATTTTGATATTAGTATATTCGCGAGCGAGCGAGTCTGGAAGGGGAAAGGTGCTAGGATTAGCTCGGTATTTCGATTTTGATTTTGTCGCAGTTTGCGGATTTCACCTTTTTAATCATTTGTTTTTGGTCTTTGGCCGAAAAAAAAAATTACAGCTGGTTCTTCGAAATCGGTATACAATAATTTAATAACCGGCAAGTTCCCGCTGGCGATTAAAAAAAGTAACAAAATGTACCTGTTTGTTTTGTCAATGTGACTGCATGTTACACCATTTTACTGTCAATTCAAGCCACACGTGACTGATTGCTAACCATTTCAACCCGATCTCGGAATTTGAGTTCAGGTTCTCAAAAATTATCCGGGGGATTGTGGATATTCAAGAGGTTCAGGGCCGAAGGATATATTTTTGCCATCGCAAAACTCGTTTAGAGTCGGGTTTCGTGATTCTATAGAAGATTTGGGCTCTTTTTCTTAATTCAAAAGGATATTAGAAGACATAGGGCTGGTATAATAATTCCCATTGTTTTATTTTTGCCTTTTCGCTGTAACAGCAGTGGGTAACACTCGCGCGTGACAGCGATCTCAACTTTTGTGCACTTAGGGCATTAATCAGAGTTATTAACATGTTTCTATTAATACTAACGAATTAACAGAAGGAAGCATCTAAGGAAACAATGACTGCTAGAAACACCTGCTGGTCACTTCAAATCCATTTTCGTCAATCCACGAAGGCTATTTTTAATTCAGGTTACTAACGAAAAAAAGGGACGCTATACCCTTAAATTTTTGTCTGTGGCCAAGGCTTCTGCGCTTGAATAATTTTTCGTTGGAGTTCAAGTCTCAAATTATTTCGCAGTTCATCCTCCTTTCTTTTGTAACTAAGCTCTAATGCATTTTTCTCGCCCTCGAATATTTTAGCGAGTTCATCTTTCTGAATCCTCAAGCAATCCAGACCTTCTTTGAGTCCATCTATGCTTTGGAGCAGGTAAGCTCTTTCATAAGCATACCTCGCTTGACATTCCTCTTCGGTCAGTTTTCTAACAGTCATTTTGTCTTGTTCGAACCTCTCTGTAAACTCGGCTTTTTCTCTTTCAAATGATTTAAACAAAACTTCTTCTTGTTTGCGTAGCACGCTCAAAAATTCTTCACAATGAAGGTTCGTGTTACCATTGCAACTGCCCCTTCCTTGAATTTCGTAAATTCCGTTCCCTCCTAAGTTTGCGCCCAGGCTCTTTAGACAATCACAGTCGCCCAGATGTTGGAGCGCATCTCGATGGACATGTTTGGTAAAGAGATCGAACGATTTCCTTAAATGGCGGAGTTCCTTTAAAAAGAAATCCTTCTCCTCGGTGAGAACCCGTATGAGGTCGTCTTTAGCTTTGATGATCTCAATGTACTCATTCCTCAACTTGTTTTCAAGGTAGTCTTTTTCCTTAATGAATTCTTTCTCCATTTCTTCTCTCGCTGGCTGAAACTCACCCTTCAAAGCCTCCAGCTGTTGATGCAAAATTTCAGTAAACTCAGTTTGACTTGAGGAATCTTCTGTTACGGTCTTTACTGTCTTTGCTTGTACGGCTTTTTCAACACAATCTCCGACTTCGTCGTAATTCTTGGCATCCTTTTCTCCTATGGGGTCATTATCGCCGGATTTACAATCACTGCCTTTCAGATTTTCCATTAGCTGACGGACTTTTTCTGACTCCTCTCCGCTTTAGCTTCTTCAAGGGAGGTAAATATTTAAAAGAAAATCTTGGCAAAAACTACGGTGTGACGAGGAAAGCTTACAACCCGAGACGCTTTCAAGTTTGGCCAACGAGCTTTCGTAACGAAAACTTGATTCTTATCGGAATTCACTTCGACATATTCAATAATGTGCAAGAATCTGTAAACGACAGGTGTTAAAATAATTCTGTTTATAGAGGAAATTCACAGTTCTTCGTTGCCCTTTGTGTGAAATAAAAAATACCTGTATTATTGAAGGGGTAATTTGCGTAAGTGACAAAGTTTCACTTAGCAACCATCGAAAGCGACAGAATCCCCTTATTAAATTTTCATGGAAAGTAGTTTGGAAAGCCTGCTTGCTATAATTTCTATTTTTTTTTTTCAAAACCTTGTTCGGTCATAGTAAGAGACTTGGCTTTATTCTTACAAAGGATAATAAAATACTTAATAAGGTATCAACTGCAACTGTATACCAGACCCTACTCCCTCGAACCAATATTCTCAAAGCAAAACGAAACAAAACGAGTATTTGTATAAGAAATGTGGGTTAGTGGCCAATATTAATTATTTTCATCCGAAGCGCCCTGAATAAATTAATAATAATAGCCATTTTGTGGTTTTCTTTTTCAACTGAAGCTCTCTATATATCATCAATACTGCGAAGAAAACACGTAAGTGTTAAATTGATCAACAAACTAGCAACACGGAGACTCATTCCTCGGTTTTTCCAACACATCGTAGTTCTTAAGCTGACATTTTTGGGAAGGAATTAATAAAAAAGAACTAATTAATAATACACAGGGCAGAAAGGCTATTTATATTACCATTAATACAATGACAACTTCGGAGAAAAGAAATCCCTCGAGGTGTCTGTAACAAAAGATGACGTACGAAGATGTAAAGTAACCTTTAAAACAGCCGCTGGAACTCATTAAAACTGGTAGATCAGATACCACCATTTATTCCTTAACTTGAAGATGATAAATATTTTTCTATTCACTCGTTTGCAAAAACGTTGACACTTTGTGAGACTCTCTTGGTATACATGTAAATGATAACCACCATAAATACGTTGGTGAATGATGGAAGCTTTCCGCGCCTTTCTGGAATAAAAGGATTATCATAACGAAGGTTTTTCATGAACAGTGAGGAAAGTGACTCACTGATTTTGTATCTGCACAAACATTTTCCTTAAAAGCTGTCGGATCCCAACGCACATGAATCATGCTTTTTGGGTGTCAACGCTTTTGCCAATTTGCGTGTGCCCAGACGCTGGTAAAATCTTGACAAAGTTTTCATAAAATCATTTCAAATGAAAATTTAAAAGGCGGGTCAAAACTGCTGTCACATTTCTCAGAATAGTTTTTGACGCCTACCGGTAGACAAAGACCTCATTTACGCATGCGCTTTAGGGCTTTAACGGTGACCTGTGACTGAAAAAGAAGAAACCCGGATTTTAAACTCAACTTAAAGCTTAAAAAAGTTTATTTTTGTTCAGAGAGATGGAAAATACCCATCATAAGGAGACTGAACATGCTACATAATTAATTCTATCACTGAATGGACTTTTGAGCCAACTGACAGCGATCTGTCAAAATTCCACGGTAGAAATAGCAGATTTCGTAGACCTTTAGAATTGCAATATCGCGTCACATGAAGAAGTTTATCAAAAGCTACGCTGAAATCCATCGAAATCCTTTTTTTCTCTCAAAAACCTGAATAATTGCTGGGGCAATCCTTAAAAACGCACGGATAGTTTTGCCCTTTAGCCCTTCCGCTGGACTTTTCACCATCGTAGATCTCTTTAAAACCTTTGGTTACGTACCTATCTTCCAGGCTCGAGTCAGAAACTTTGTATCGATTATCGTGATTTCCGTCACCTTTATCATCAGACTTGAAACCTGTGAATTTTGATGACGTGTTATATGGTGTACTATCTAATCTCCCTTTGTCGTGTGCAGTAGCATATTTGCTTTTGTAGGTGGAGTCGAGGTAGTTTGGGGATGCGCTGTATGAAGCCTCACCAGACTCCTTATCATCGTAGCTTCTGCCTTTGTGTTCGGAATCGTAGTATCTAGGTGATGAGTTATACGACGTAGCAGTTAGCTCATCATGGCTGCACAAATCTCCAATTAGATTCTGAAGAACTGACTTCTGATGGCGCAGTTGCTCGTTCTGTAAATGGGATGTTTTCTGTTCATCTTCCAAATCTTGCAGACTCTTCTCTAGGTTGTTATTTCTCGTATGTAATTCCTGAATCATTTCCCCTGACATTCCTGCCATACTTTCCACGTCCTGCATCTAGAAGAAAAATAACATATAAAATGATTTCTGATTGGTGCAAAAAAAAAAAAAAAACAATACACCAATCATCAAAACTGAAGCTAATCTCGACTTGTTTGCTCGCGGTTTTTCGCGAGTAAACAAGTGCTTTAGGCTTTTACTCTGCGTCTCTACTGGCTCTTTGTGATACGTTCTCTCGTTATGAATGTTAGTTCTTGTTGCTGCTGGGTTTTGGATTTGCAACAATCAACAGAAAAGCGCTCAAAATAGCAACTCTTCTTCCTGAAAACCATTTTGACAAGTCTTTATGGGTTAAGATTTACTTATACTGCCACCCGTCTCCCACCCGATTGTGTCCGTGAGATGGGTGCAACTGAGATGTGATCATATGCTGAGCTGATATCAGTTGTTATGATCGATGGCAGGTCAACCCACAAAGGCTTCATCGATATAATGCAAGCCTCGCGTGCTCAGTCTGAGGTATACTAAGGCGGAGCTGTTGTTACGCCGGGTAAACAGACAAAAAGATGAGAATCATATTGTGTTACAGTTTCCAAACCTTCTCATTTAAACGTGCAACGTATTCATGCATAGCTTCTCTGGCTAGAGAAAGCTTAGTCTCTAACTCCTTTTTCTCCACCTCTAGGTGAGCGATCCGGGCCGAGTCCTTAGCCACTGATGTGTGAGACAAATCCTCTCTACTGCCTTCTTCAAATTGAGTCCTGATGATCTGACCAATGGCGACGATTTCTCTCTCGATTCTCTTAAGTGCATCAGGATCCAGCTCTCCACGAGAGCTAGACAGCTCTCGGCCAGTATGCAAGAGCCTTTCTTCTAAGCCCTTAATGTTGTGAAGACTGTCAGTCTTGCGGGTGGATATTTTTGTCTCAAGACTGGTAGCCTAGAATGAGAATAATGGGTATATTGCGAGGGAATATCTGTGGGCCTTGTCATCAACAAGAGCGCATCATTTCTTATAATATAAAGTAGTTGTGATCAAAGAGTGTGAGCGTTTAGACTTTTCGCGAGGAATTCCGATTATTGAAAAAAAGGGGAATATAACTTTTTAATTTAAAATGCCACCGTTGAAGGTTCACACGCAGCGTATTCAAGAAAAGTCAGTTCATCTCGTCACCTCTTTGGTACAATGAGACTGATTTAGTTTCGCCCCTTGCATCAACAGTTACACTTAAAAAAATCATCTACATTATCTCACCTTTTCTTTCTCATTTTTGAGTTTTTCCAACAGCCGCTCCAGTTGATTTTGCAATTCTGAAGTTCTCTCTCTCAGAGAGGAATTCTCAGACACCAGTCGCTTGAGTCGTTCAGTTTCGTCACGTTTTTCTAAGGAATTCTCTTGATACTGGAAACAGTAAAAAACGGTGTTCAGGTATCGTATGGTGAAAAGATCGAATTCCACTGTCAACAATCCTTGATGACTTAAAGTAAAATATCACACACTTTTGAAAGAATTTGACGAAAATTTTACTGAAATATATGGAATTACGGCAAAGAGGGGGAATTTATAAGCGGAATACAGGCTTTAACCTTACATGTGTAAACTTACGAGTAGAAAAGCATTTCTAAATAATAAAGAAAATGCGTATTTTGGGTGAGCTGCCGCAGAAATTGTGAGCTCACCGAAGTTTGAAGTAGTTCAGCTTGTTTTTCCTTCAAGGTTTTAATCTTCAGTTCCAGTTCTTTGGTGACTTGAATAAGTCTGTTCTTCTCTCGCAATGTTGCTTCATATTTTGTCTACAGAAAAGAAGAAAAAAATTTAACTATTTAAAATCAATATCCACAAAATTCACTGCGCCGGACATAGTCGATAGGTCAGGTCGACATACAGCTGCAAAGTAGATCAACAGCTTCCATCAGCCCTGATGATTGAATTCATTATGTCTTTTTTTATATAAAACTTTTACCATATAAAACGAACAATTAGGGCAGACTACCTGGCTGATATTATTCATTCATTGTTTATTTATTTACCTATTTACAGGGACTACTATCATACTCACCTTGTATGAAGAATCCTGGGTGTCATCATATCTTGGCTTTAATTCATAATGCGATTTACCCTCCTGACAATGAGCCAACATAATTTAAGATAAGTATATAACGGGTAACGTGGCCTTTCAGGGATAGCTGAAAAATCACAACGGTCTTAGCTAGTCTAGCGATGCCAAACGACAAACAGCTTTGTTCCTCGAGCTATGCTATGTATTTTTTTTCTGGGTGGCCAAAATCTGGGGATCCAGCAAAAGAAGCAATAAATACCTTAGGGGCAGGGGGGGGGGTACCATCACTCTGAGCATAAAGACAGAACACACTATCTACCTTTTGTCTCGAGCTCGATACACTCCGTTGGCCTCGAATGTCAACTTGATGTCCATTGGAATCGTGTCTTCTCTGTTCTCTACTTCGTTCTGTAGTGAGCCGAGTCTTGGTGTCGTAGTCTGTTGAGGTCTTTTCTGCTTTGGCTGCACGAACTTCTAGCGTCCGTAGTTTTTCTTCCAAGTGCCGATCGGTGTTTTGGAGCCTTCTGCCCCCGCCTGCATGAGCAGAGAAGCTTGTCTGGTCAGTGTGAAGTCGCTTTCTATCATCCTCTTTTTCAGTCTTTAATTTCTCGGTCTCTTCAACTTGACTGGTAAGGGTCTTTACCCTGAGATCTTTGTCCTGGTTTGCTTTCAAGAGTCTTTCCATTTCGGCCTTAGCTTCCTCTTTGTACTGCTTGTGAAGATCAATATTTTCCTCCAGCGCTACAATCTTGGCTTTTAAACCTTTATTTTCACTTTTCAATGCATCAATCTCAAATCTTAACGCCGATTCGTTGTCTGTCGGCGTGTGACAAAATGACATGCTTCTCACCTGGTGCTCATCCATTGATCTATTTCCAGAATCTGATAATCTTACTTGACTGTTCCTTGCTAAAGCTTGATTTTCATGATACTTGAGGCTGGCATGATAATGTGACTGCAAAGTCGAGTCATTCTTAGTACTATGATCGCTACCTACAAGCTGTCCATAGCTACCAGAGACAGCAGGTTGATCGAGGTGGGAGCTGGTGGCTGACGCTCCGGTACCTTCACTGTCTTTCTGTGGGTGTTGTGGTTGCTGATACGATTGCCAGTAGGAAGGACCTGCTACATTACTGGCACCATCATGCTTTTGTTGACTACCAGTGAAGCCATGTTGAACAGCATGGGAGCCAGTATTATATGCTCCTGTCCACATAATTTCCTTCTGTGATTGTTCTTGTTGCGAATGCTGATGCGATTGCCAGTAAGAAAGACTTGTCACATCACTGACACCATCAGAGACTCCTCCACGATTAGCCGACAGTCCCACAGCTCCACTTCCGACTCCAGCCTGGTGGTCAAACACTCCTTTACTGTCTGTTTCACCAACAACCCCGTTCTGAAGATGCCCCAAAGATGATCTCGTCCATTCACTATCATTTCGTTGCATTTGCAGATTGTCTACTTGGCCTTTTCCCTCAACCTGTAGTCTTTCTCTTGTTTTGACGATTTCATCCTTCTCCACCTTGATTTTCTCTTTTTCTTGATCAAGCTCTTCCTGTATCTTTCGTCTCTCGGATTGTACTTTTTGATCAAGCGCCTCTTTTTCGATGTGGAACGTCTTGTCCAGTTCCGTTTTGTGATCTGCTAACAGTTTTTCAAAGTCATCCTTTAGTTTGCCACTAAGCCCTTCACGTCCTTTTAAAGTGATTGCTTCCTGAAACAACGTTATTTCTTCGCACACACTGTTTTTCTCCTCAATTTCCAGGCGTAATACCTCGATTTCTTTTTGAAGGCGTTCGTTTTCGTTCCTACTCATCGATTCTCCGTTGACTGATTTCTCTCTTTCTTGCTCTAATTCTTTTTCTCTGTCAAGTCTCAACAACCTTTCTTCCTGCAAACTGTCCTCAAACGCTTTACTCTTTTCTCGGAATTCTTTTTCCATTCGAATTCTTTCCTGTGTCATATTAGCTTCAAATTCAACTCTAGATCTTTCCAAATTACTTTCGACCTCAGTGAAGCGAAGATTGAAGTTTCTCTCAATTTCGCCTTTCTCATTGTTTAAGCGTTGCTCCACTTCTGATTTTTCACGTATCGCTTCTTGTTTCACGTGAGAAATTTCCCTCTCTAACATGACTTGATATTCAGCCTCCAATTTTTCCTTGAGCTCAATTTTTTCTCTTGCAAAGTTTTCCCCCATTCGTTCTTGCTCGGTTCCTAGTTTTTCCCGAAGTTCTTGTAACTGCTCTTTATAATACTGGTCAAGCTGTTGTCTCTCTTCACGAAACGACTGAGTCAGTTTGTCAATCTCTTCAGCGAAGTTCTTCTGCATTTCCATCTTCTCCATCGAAACGTTCTTCTCAAGCTCTGCTCTCTCAGCTCGTGTCGCCTCGTCCCACTCTAGCTGTCTGCTCCTGAATCCACGTAGAGTTTCTTCCATCTTTTTCTTGAAAAAAACCTCCAGTGTTGTTCTTTCTCTTTCAAATATGTGCAGCAGCTCTTCTTTTAAGGCCTCTTCCTCATTCTCATTCAGTTCGATCGGAAACTCCTCCGTGACTGAGCCATCGATCTCGCCGCTTAGTTGACTAACACTGTCATTCTCCCCAAAACCACTGTCCTTGCTGGTTCGCATACCACCTTCATTGCCATCTTGTCGGTAAAGTCTCCCTGCAGCCTGGCTGCTTGTTATACCTCCAGTTGACGAGTAAACCATTGTCTGTCCAAAAAGGTGACCTTCCCCGGTAAATCTCTTTGTTTTCTGCTCGCTCTCGTCAATGACTCCACAAGAGTCCATTTTCCTTCCAACATGGCTGTTTGTTGTTGCCGATACGGAATAGGTTATCTGGCGTCCCCCAGGGACGTATCCATGGTATAATGCTTCTTTACTGCTCTGCATTTGAACTTCTGTTACCCCATAGCCTGACCATTGTTCCTTGTTGTGGTCGCTACTTATATTGGCTGATGAGGACGATGACGAATACGTCAGGGTTCGTCCACTACTCTGCAGAACAGGAATGTTTGATTTCAAACTGACCTTGTTTTCATTTCTGTTTGAATGCATCGCGGTAGCCTCAAGCTCTTATTTCACTCCTATTTCAAAGACTGGTGGAAAATAGTATCAGCAAAAAGTTGAAACGTCTGCCTAAATGCACCGACACTCCGACTTGCAGTTTACAGAGCCCTTCGAATGGCCAGAAAAGCAAACAGATAAGGACTGAGTGAACTATTCATCTCAGGTTTTATGCCCAGGATTTATTTTTAATGAGAAAAGTTGAGGTTTATGCCACCAGTTGCGTAGGCCGCTCAGGATATAATAATGTCTACGAGGGAAATTATAAACAAAAATTGTCTGCTGTGTTAAGTGAGTTGCATCACAAGTGGAAAATTGTCACTCACGCGGTAAATTAAATCGGCCGCCATGTCACCAAAGTTGAGATACCGTGTACAAAGTTTAAAACAACGGGCCATACGCGAGAAGAACAAGTCGGCTGTCACCCACATATCAAACTGCGGTTTCTTGGAATACCTCTTAACTCGGTGCGAGTTGCGGTTAAGGGTGAATAAAGAAATAAATTGCAGTATTTGACCTAGAGGTATGACATGTCGGTTGAATAAAACATAGAAATTCAATAAACAAGGAATCTGCGGTTTCGACAAAACCACACAATGCACCGAAGTAAGCTAATTCTAAGGTGTCATTTATAACATTTGCGTATTTGTTTCACGCTAGCTTCTGCTGTTATCAATATTCATCTTAATTTTCAAGGAAAGTGGAAGTGCGGCGAAATTATATAACAGTGTATATCCGTAGGTATCGACCCCCACCTTAGCAATATGAATCTTTATGTTAAATGCATTTATTAAGTATGATATCCAATTCCTTGAAGACGATCGAAAACACTTAAGCTGTTGGCTTCATTCTTGTTTTTCTAATTTTTCACTGCTTTTGACATACTTGCAAAGATGGTTTAATACACTTATCCATTAGGATAAACATTTCTAATGTTTGCAATACCATCAACCAATAATTGCTCCTGACACCTGCAAGTTACCTGTCATTTGTTTGCAACATCCCAATATCCCATACAGTAATAATTTCCGAGTGCTTTTGTGGCACTCGCCAGCCACTTGTGATTACAAACGATGATGAGATCGGAACTTAGGGCGATGGAGCCCGAAATATCATTAAGAAGGGAAAGATTGATTGATTGTTCCTTTTTTCCATATCAATTTTATTATCATAGTTTTTGTTTTTTAATTCATACATGTTGAACATTCTCATCAACGGTACCAATACTCAAAATCAAGGCTTTCAGAAATCGGTTAAATGAGAGATGTCATTTCAATATGTTATATACTTCAACATTCAAATATACTTCAACATTCAATATACTTCAACATTCAAATTTTGATTGGTGGAAACACGCCTCTTGTTATCAAAACAAAAATACTGCGTTTGTCTCTGTTGAGTTTTAAAAAGTTTGATGTATATCAATAGACATACCAACGTACGTTGTGAAAGAGGCTCACCTTGACGTATCATTTGCCACAATTGATCATTTACCGTCTAGTGATATCGGTATCTTTGCTCCTTATACTCCATCTATACCTGTCGATCATTTATACCTTTAAACTCCTTGCTTTCAATAACTCAATCACATTATGTAAGATGTAAAGTTTTAAGCCTAGCCGAATGAATCAGTAAATAAGCGATTACTTGCTCATTGATAACAACTTGTCGCTGAAATACACCAGTTAATATCAATCGTTGACAAAAATGCAAACAGAACTGTTACACGAGATAGAAATAAGTTTTTTCTGAAGACGTTCTGCTATTGCACTTTATGTGGAGGTGTGGCTCTGCAAACGAGTTCTGCAACGATCCAAGCACTGTCCACTTAGAGGAGCCAAAAATAATGCTATCACTGTTCACTATTAACTTCTTCTTCTTTTCCATCATCAGAGGTCATCAAAACGCGAACAGTGGAAGAAACAGGCTGTTTTGGCATAATAGCGTTTAAAATCCTATAAACCCCTTGATCAGGTTGTTTCTCGAAAGTCACATAAACCAAAATTTTTTTGCGCTCGTCAGGAGTCAATCGCAACTTGGAGTCGTAAACTTTTATCATCTTATCAGTTTCCAAAGTAGGAGAACCCAACGCCCTCGGGCTTCCTTGTTGATTCCATGTACTTGATTGAGCTGTGTTTGCACTAGATTTGTCTTCGCTGTCTTTTCCTTCTTCATACTCTTGACTCTTAACACTAACTTCACTGTTCCTCTTCACTCGTTTTTGAAGGTGACGTGTTAAGGCTCGTATTTTGGTGTTACTCTCTTGATTCGCTTCTTGAAGCCTTTTTATTTCGATGTTTTTACTCTCAATTTCCTCACGAAGTACATCGATTTTGCTTCTAAGTTTTTCATTTTCCCCTTTGTTTGGGGCCTCTGTGTTTGAATATTTCTCCTTAATTTGATCAATTTCGCTTTCCACGTCTAATTTCTGATGTCTCTCTTCCTTCACCTTCACTTCAAGCTCCATTATTCTTTCCTGACTTTCCTTTTCCATCCGCATGCTCTCCTTCAATTCATTCCTAACTTTTTGCAAACTTGTCTCAGCCTCAGTCAACTGTTGGTTTAAGCTCTTCTCGAGCTCAAATTTCTCTTTGTTAAATCTTGCCTTCATTTCTGATCTTTCACGCAGTCCTTCTTGTTTTTCATACATCACTTCCTTCGTCAACATGACTTGATATTCTGCTTCAAGCTTTTCCTTGAGCTCTAATCTCTCTTTTTCAAATTTTCCATCACCCCTCTTTTGTACCAGTGCAAGCTTATCTTTAAGTTGTTTCACCTGATCTTCGTAACACTGCTCAATATGCTTTCTTTCCTCGCTGAATGAATGCGTTAGTTTGGACATTGCATCTGCAAATTGCTTCTGCATTTCTTCCTTCTCTTTGGCCATTTTACTTCCAAGTTTCTCTTTCTCTGTTCGGGAAGCTTCTTCCCGCTCCATTTGCCTGCTTCGAAAACCATGCATACGTTCCTCCATTTTGCTTTTGAAGTACACCTCAAACAAGCGCAAGAGTTCTTCCTTAAATGCTTCTTCACTGTTCCCTTGAGCCTTGCCGAGCCGACTTTGGATGTCTTCAGCTGTTGGTAAAGAACAGGCAAGGTTCTCAAAACTCCCAGTTTTGACAACATTCATTTCGATGTAATTTGCAGAGTCATTACTATTTTGGTTCATGTTATCGTGTTCTCTGAAGCCACCATCCGCTTCGTTGCTTTGTACGTCACTTTCAATTCCACGAGCAGAGTTGCTTCCTCCAACATGACCGCTATCGAGTACACTTGCAGAAGGAATGGTCTGCCTATTTTTATGTCTTGAAAAGGCGGAATCCTCCGTGTTCTGGCTCGTGTCGGCTTTTGGATAATTGCTATTTAGGATTCCCAATGCAGAATACATAGCTTTCTTGTCATCATTTGTTTGAGGAGGTATACTGGAATTTTCTCTGATTTTCCTTTTGTTGAAATACATCGTGGTTGCCAAGTTTTCCTTCTCCTTGTTCGAGTTCAGAATTAGCACAGTTTTGCTCCACAGTCAACGCTCGTAGCGCATCGCGGGGCTAAAACCCGAAATATGATGACTCTGAACGATAGCAGAGTGCACTATTCAACTGAACAGGTAATGTTCCGATCATTTAAGATTGATATCGAAATTGATGCCCCCAACAGCGCAATGAAAACGCAAATAGTATTGAGTTTATCTCCCGCAGAAATCATCGCAATCAACAAACATTCCATGATTAATATTTTTTAACAATGCATTCAGCCTCTGAATTCAAGACTTATCAAAAAAAACGTATTTTAAAAGCAATCGATCAAGTCCTGGCATACCTTCAAGAATTATTGCTGGACAAGAGAAAAATCTTAAAAAGAATTTAGTAAGGTTCATAAAAATGGAGATGTTATCTAACCCATTTCATATATTAATTATGATGTTTACCAAAACGAAAACCGACAAAGGTGGATTAGAAGAATGGTTTGGTTTCCTTCGGCTTCCTCTGGCTTACCCCATACAATGAAGTCGATGTCGCAACCCGCTGATCCCTGCTGTCATAAAAGAAACTTTGTTCATTGATGGAGAGCAACTGACGTTATGTCAAATACAAACATTAATAAAGGCCTCTAAAACTCTATTCTTAGTTGTATCAATAAGAAACGAGCGGAAAACAGGTGCATGAAAGATGGGGCGGAGTAACTGGTTGTTTTGACACTGGAAAGACATTCAAGGAATTGGCGGGGTAAGCTATGAGAAGTTTGCGGTTGAGTTGATTCATTTTGAGATAAACCAAAACCTTGGTGAAGAAGAAACAGTTCGTCTAGAATGGTGTTAGTAATTGTGGATTTTGCATATTTTCGCAAATCAGGATATGGATTTCGTGAGCGATTTCTCCTGTATCGATTTAAGTTTCAACACAAATAAAAATTAAAACCAGGAAGACAAAAAGAAAGCTAAAAGGACAAAGACGATTCCTCGGTTCGAACTTGATTCTCTTTGGCAAAACATAACACCACCATCTGTCCGTGTACAAGTTTGTTTCATGCCCGAATGTAATAACAAAGGGCTAGAATCCGTAAACCGATATCTAGTTGCACTCAGTTCCGAACGGACTTACTTCATACAGAACTAGCACAAGTTATCTGATTTTGAAGTTTGTAACTAATTAAAACTTGTTACTGTTACAGACACGTATCTGCTAAACCATACGTTAATTAATCATTAGCGGTAAACAAAGAAGATCATTAAAATAAAATGATGCTCGGTGGCGATGAAGCAAAATTATAAAAAAAAAAAAAAAAAAAAATTGTATGGGCCATTCAAATCAAAGGGTGAAAAATGTTTCAAGCCTCAGCGCCAGGGAAAAACGTGTTGGTCGAGTGGGGAATACATTCCAGTTTGACAGTACTCCTTCCGTAAAATTTCATACCGTACCATGCAAGAAGCGATCATTCAAACAAAGTAGGAACACTGTATGGCTATGTTTATTCGAGATATGACGCAGTGAACAAGACAAAGATTGTTTTCTTATTTTAAAAAAGAAGGAACGATTTAACTTGTGATTACATTTTCGAATGTCATTCCTAGATTATATGATCCATTTCTATCAGATGGACTTAATCTGCCGTTAAAATGTTAAAACTCAGAGTGCATTAAGAAAGTGTAAATCGTGTCTTCAGATTCGATGAAATGATGGTCTATCGTTTTATTGATTACTTGCAGATTGACTGTTTGACTGATTAATGAACTAATTCACTTACTGATCGACTGGTGAGGTCAGCTACGCCGAATGGCTTTCTTTACGTAATTTCTTGTACATCTTTACGCAACAATATTTCGTGAATTCAAAACGAAAGTGGTGATCAGATATAGCAATATATTTCCTTGCGTAAACAAAAGTATTAAGAAACGGTCTTTTTAACTGATATGTGGCAAAAACTATGAAAGTTACGAAAACTATGTATGTAATTCTTTACCTACGCAGTGCTCAAGCAACGAAGATAAAAATCACAACTGTGAAATTACAATTACAAAAATACTCTAAATCCTAGTATCAAAAGTCGGCAGGTTTAAAAACCTTTGATCAATTCGTTTGAACAATGCTCACAAATTCAAGATCTGGATTTTGTCACGGTAAAATTTAGTTAAAATGTACAACAACGTTAGTAAAATCTTCAAATTATTTCGCCAGACAAAAATCGTCTATTTGATGGAAACATCGTCCCGTTAGGGTCCACATAGTAAATTCCAAGAAATTGTCAAATGCTGATAAGAAGAGAGCAACGCTGATGGTTTGGGAGGGATCCCGAGCAACGACACGGCCTAGTTGCGAAAACACTTGAAGGTGACCAGCTCTTCATGAAAAATCTCCTCAGTAGAAAAACATCCAAGGAATCTACATGTAAGAGGAGACTCCCACTGACACTGATTTGTCGCTTGGGGATACTTTCCTCCTTGTTCATCTTCAGATACATATCTTGTTGCTTAAGCTATGGCATTGGCCCCACATAACTTAGAGATGACCCTTTGTAGGGCTTTCTTTTGTTCTGTAAGCTGCCTGTTTGCCTTCTCAGCTTTTCTCTCGTTGGCTTCTGTTTGTTGAAGAGCTTTGGTAAGTTTGGCGTTTTCTATGTAAAGTTCCTGAACAAGGTTACCTGAACGTGTGGCACTGATTTCAGATTGTTGAAGCTGCAAGCAGGAAACATCAACAAAACTTCATTACAACGATGGAAAGTGGCAAATTAAGCATCGCATGCCTCAGAGAAACTTGTAACAGCCCACGGGCCATTGGACAACTAGAGTGCCATTAAGAACACTGCACAGACACTAACATAACTTTCACAAGTAAAACGTTTACCTCAAAAGATCGCTTATAGTGCTCTATAAAATTAGAGTAAACCAACTTGTCTTGAGTTACAGAGAAAACCCTTTAAAGGCTGCAATGCATTCGCATGTCAAATTGAAGTGAATTGGGATAATTCTAAGCTGCCTATCTTGATTACCAAAGACCATCGCATCGCATGATAAACATCGGAAGCGGATCATTTTCGCACATATCACCTGTTTACTCAGTCTCGTCACGTGCTCATCTAGTGCTTCTCGAGTTTGTTTTACTTTTGTTTCCAGTTCGAGTTTCTCCTTTCCCAGCTGCCGTATCCTTCCTTCCCACCTATGACTTGCACTTTCAAGTTCTCGCAGTCTATGAGTCTTCTCTTCGAGCTTTTGAAAAATAAAGAGAGCCAATCATAAGAGATAGTAGAGGGATCAGACGGGTGTCGGTGAAGTAGGCGTTATCACTTTCACATTAATTTTCTCATGAGAGAAGGAAAAAGAGAAAACAAACTTTGACCCAACAACGAGACAGATATTGTTTAGCTGACGCTACGGCAACTGCACTACTGCGGCAATGGCGTTTCTCAGAGCAATCCCAGAAAGAACAGTATGCAAAAACAAACAAATAACTGAAAACAAACAAAACAAAAGTTAAAACCTTTTTGCTGAGTGCCATAACCTCTGCTTTCGCCTCATTGAATACTTTTTCCCTAAGAGCCTGATCCCGTTCGCTGGCCAAGTTGGCTCGATGAAGTTGTTCCTTCAGCTCGCCCACTTCGCGTTGATGACGAGACTTTATGGTTGTCATTTCGGTATTCGCAAGAGTCGCCTAATGGATCACAAGTTCAAATCAGAAAATCGCCTCGGAGGCTTAGTTGACATGTAAATGAAAAGCACTTTCACTAAAGAAACGAACGACAATAACTTACCCGTAATGAAGATACATCTTACCACACTTCACATTTAACAATTCACGGAACATCACGCACGATACAAGTCACAAAGATCACGTAAGGTGGCTGAAATGAAATCTCATAACACGCACATATACGTCTATGTAAATTAACATTCAAAACAGGGTAATCGACGAAAAGTCGTTAAGGAGCTACGGTCAGATGAGCGAAGAAGACCCAGTGACGCATTGTAAAAGATGTATTCCGTTTCCTTCTGAGTGACAAATTAATTTGTATTTGAGGTATGTTCCTCTATGAACCTCTCAAGATTACTAGTATCCATTTTGGCGATTTGCATTTATATGCATTTATAGCTCTATCATCACAATTTGAGAGAAACGAAATGGCGGTGGTACATAATTCTCCTACGTTACAAAAGTTGCACAAGAGCGCAACCATAGATAAAACCTACAGCTCAAGCTGCAGTTAAATTAGGGTGAAAATTGAGCATCACTCCCACCTCTAACTGATGATAATTTATCTTTAGATATAATTCACATATAAAAAAATCCAACACCATACTTTTCGCTCAGTTGTTGTAAATTTGTGGCTAGCCTTATCAATTTATTGCGGTCTCGGTCCACTGTTCCCATGAAATGTGTCGAATAGTACTCTCCCAGTACATACCTTCTGCTTTTCTGTCTCCAATTCTCTCTTGTGAGTTCCCTGCGCATTAGCTAGTCTCTCTTTTAACACATAGACCTCCTCTTGAAGATTATTCGCTTTGGCGTTCTTTTCTTTAAGAACTTTTTCTACAACTTGTTTCTTTTCCTGGATATCTTGCAGCTTCTTTTCCATGGTGATGAGATCATTTTTGGCCTGCAAAGCAGATTACGAAGGGTTATTATCATTCTAAGAACACTGGTACAAAGGCATAGCTGAGCCTCCCTTAATGTACCAGTATCTGTGCAACTGCGCACTTACCCCTCCCCTAACTTTAACTTGTTGTCAGTTGACTTTTGTTGGGTTAGGGGTGGGGTGGGTGGGTGCGCATATGCTTAGAAAGTGACATTCTAGTCAACGTTGAAATTCTAAATGATGTACCCAAGTGAGGTTTGATTAAAAACTTTTTTACATCACTTCTGTGTACATTAAAGATGAAACAGCTAAAACTTCAGTAAAAAGCATAATGAGTAGCTTAGTAATAATATTGCATGTACTGATGCAAAGTATAGCATGGAAAATTACGAAAAGAGATTAAACATTGCATAAACAGCTGCGGACAGTTATACGTCTTTACGTTCGAAATACACAATACAAGCAGATGAAACGCTGAGTGAACAGGCGACGTCACACATTTGTTATACAAAGAGAAGTTAAGTCACGGGAAGTGACCGCTGCATATTTGATAACAATTTACAAGCGTTACGTCGCGCTTAATGCAATCGACGTCTATTATGTTTTATGACTACAAAAATGTTTATAACATACTTTTTCACAACATCAACTTGTTGTTTACAATGACAGGCGGAATGGTGTAGAACAAATACAATGTACCGTCTTTTAAAAAACTGGCGACAGCAAACGACTTTTTATGGATGTTCCGCTATTGTGCTACCAAGATAAGTAAGATAAGTTTTTAAAGTCTTTTAAGTTCATTTAACGTCTTTTAAGTTCATTTAATCTCTCACTATTTTATTACGTGTTGAACACAATAATATTGCTGGTACAATAAGCGATTTTTAATTTAAAGTTAAACTTCTTTTGAGGAATTGTGATACCACGTAATACACTTTTGAATTCAAGAGTGGATAAATAAAACAACGTAAGTTAGTCAATGCCACATTTTTAAACTTACAAAAATATAAAAGGTGAACGAAAACATGTTTAAGCTCGCTCTTAGGTCAACCTAGATTTAGGTTTCCATATCAACTTTTTAATTATTCAGGTTTTTATGATTCTTTTCTAACTTTTTATTGCAATATGACAAAATAGGTTCCAGAGTTTCGTGGTTATTTATATTTTATGGTGCTTAAGCTAAGTTCCATTACCAGCAAAGCGCGTTACGTTTAGAGTCGGCTGATGTGGGATCCTTTCCACAACTGGGGAGAAATGCTGTATCAAGTTCGTATTAGATCGAACGCAGTCACACAGATTAGAATTATGTCAGGCAAAGTCACACTGGTTATGGTAAAACGTTAGGCGCCGTCACACAGATTAGTCTTTGATATAGCGCAGTCACGCATGTTTGAGTTAAATAAAGTGCAGTCACACCAATCACAGTCAAATGTCAAACATTACAAATTGTAAATGCAATTGTGTCTGAGGGAAACAAAACACACACAGATTTTGAACGTTGTAAAGCTCTGGGGCCAGTTATTCAAACGGCAAATAACGCTATCCAACGGATAAATCGCCAATAATTGCTTAAGTGTAAACAATATGTGCTGCACTATCCACTAGATAGGGATCCCTCAGGTAGATAGCGTTATCGAACCTTCGAACAACCGGTGCCAGTATGATAGAGAGAGAGACGAAGCCAAATAACCCGGTTACGAAGCCGCAGCAATTAGAGGCAGTTAGGTTGTACATATCTGAACACCAAGTGCTGCTCTTAAATTCAGCAGTTAATTGCATTAGACCGTTAAAATTAGAAGCACTCAGTTAAAAGCAGTTATGAAGTTAAAAAAATAAATAAATAAATAAAGACTAACAGATGACGACACCTTCTCAGCCTCAAATTCTTTTTGCCGCATGTTTTCCATGTTTGCGAGCTTTTGGGTCAGCTGAGTGACTTGTTTCTCAAGTTGGCCTGTTTCTTCCACACGGTACTCGAGCCTTGCTTCGAGGGCCTGGTAGGCAGTTTCTCGCACGGCGAGCATGCGTTCTAGCTCTTTCACCCTGACGTCATCCTTGTCCGCCATCTTTTTGGTCAGCAGTCTCACCTTCTGCTCTAACTCCAAGTTGTACTTGTTACGTTGATTCAGCCGCTGTTCCAAATCTTTGTTCTCAGTCTCCCAAAGGGACAAGCGCGTGTTCAGTTCTTGAAGTCGAGTTGTTTCCACGTCCGCGAGCTGATTGGCCAGCTGCGATGCCCTATCCTCGAGCTCAGTCTTTTGCTTATTGTATTCGTTGACCTTTCTTTCCAACGTCTGGTTTTCATTTTCTTTCATTGTCAACAAGGCATCGAGCTCTTTATTCTTGACCATGGATTTTCTCAAATCACTTTGGAGCTCCGCCATTTCACTTTCCAGCTCAGCACTGTTATCCAAGAGCTTCTTGTTCAACTCTTGGTTTTCTAAATCACGACTGCGCAGCATGTCCTCGATTTCCTGACTTTTGTTCATGATGTCTTTGAGCTCGGCCTCCGTTGAAGCCAAGCCATTCAACTGCGAGTCTCTTGCTTTTAACTTCTCTTCGAGCTGTTCTTTGGACGAATTACTTAAATTCAGATCGACCTTCAGTTCTTGGAGTCGCAATCGTGCCTCTTGAAGCTCGGTCTCCAAAGTTCCACAAGTTTCTTTCAGTTTCTCGTTTTCTGAGCTCTGCTCGCGAAGCTTCGTTTCTAAATCCTCCACTTCGGCGACTCGTAGATTTAACATCACGTCCATTTCGTCGGTTTTAAGCTTAAGTTCCTTCATTTTGTTTTCTTCTCCTTCTTCCTTTACCTTCGATAACAAAGCGCCAACACCTTACCAAAGATTGCACACGGAAAACTAACTCGATCTCATTTCAGCGAAAACACAGATAAAAAAAAGCTGGAAACCGTACAATAACTGGGGAATAAAACAGTTTAGTTCTTCTAGGAAACAAAAAACCATCCATAAACATAACTGAATTACACAAGGAAGGACATCATTTCTTCTTTTTTTTTTTTTTTCTCCTTTTTATTGCCATCCTCATCCAAACCCTGCGTAGAGGATGATGAAATTCGGCGTAAAAACCTATTAACTGATACGGTTGCTTTCGGAAAAGGAAACTTCTACGCATACACAGATCGTTACGAAGAGTTCAGTCATAAGAGGCATCGGGGCCTTACGAATTAATTTTAGAAAAATTCGATTCTTATGGACAAGATTTCCAAAGCTTTCTATTGCTTTTCCCGAATGGGTCAGATTATTGTTTAAAAAGAAAATATCAATATCACTGCGGATTCAGAAACATTTCTCCAATGGATTATCACTTTAAAACGTAAAGTGTTAAATCATAGTAGGACCATTTTATTTCATGGTCAGCGAGGGTCGTCGCTTTGTCCTCTTCAGAATTTTTCAATATTACCAATGACCTGTTAAGTACCGAGTTTTTCATCAAACAACCATTTTCATTCATTTAATTAACATTACTTAAACAAGAGAAAACAGATGCTGGGGTGATTTTCAAGAAAACACGGAGAGAAAAAGTTTCAGGCTCGCTAAAACTGAACTCTCTGGAGAGTGGAGGAAATTACCGCGTTCATTTGGACGATGACCCCAGAGCTGGAAGAGTTGATTTCGAAACAATCCTTTCCACGTAGCAACTTAAACTAAAATCAGTCTCTAAAAGAATTTAAAGAAATCTCACTAGTAAGTACTTACCTTTTCGGCTTCCAGTAGTTCTCTCTCTCTTTCTAACGCTTCTTTTTCCATAGCAGCTTTCTCCCTTTGAAGCTCGTCGAGATGCACTTTCTGCTCCGTAATTTCCTTGATACTGTTTTCCAAAATGAGTCCCTTCTCCTTTTCGAGCGACTCCACTTTGCTTTCAAGCTCGGCCACTTTCTCGCGCGACATTTTCAGCTCTACGACTTCTTTGTCACTGCGAGTTAAGGTCTTGAGCTCAAGAGTTTGAACTTTAGCTTCCAGCTCTCGTTTCTGCTCTTTGAGGAAATTAATCTCATCTTGCAAATGTTTCACGGTTTGTTCCAGAAGACCGGTTTCGGTTTTCAGTTTGGTGGCGTATTCTCTTTCTAAATGCGAGCGAAGTTCAATCTTCTCCTGCACGTACTCGTCCTCTAGTTCTTGTTTTTCGCGAGCGTTATTTTTTTGAAGGTCTTTGATTTTCCTCTGGTAACTCTCTTCAAGTTCGTTTCGCTCGCTGGAGTAAGTTTCTCGTAGTTCCTGCAAGCCTACCGTTCCACTCTTTTGGAATTCCTGTTTTTCCCGTAGGTAGCTTTCCTCCAGCTGTGCTTTCTGTGTAGCAAAACTCTCTTCTAATTCTGCCTTATGAGTCGCCAACAAACACAAGAAATCGTTTTTCAGCTGTCCTTTCAGACCAGCCTCGCCATCGGTGAAGGCTTGCTGCAACTCGGTTATTTGATCTTTATAACGCGCTTCTAATTCAACCTTCTCTCGAGACGAGTTCTGTAAAAGCTTGGCCTTTTCTTCGGTGTGATGTTCTTCGATTTCAGCTTTCCACTTTTGGAAAGTTAATTCGCTGTGAGTCGAATTTTCGTGGAAGCCTTCCTCGATTTTCGCGCGTTCCTCGTCGAATTGCTTCTCTAAAGCTGCTTTTTCCTTCAGGAAGCCATTTTTCAATTCAGCTTCTTTCAGAGCCAGTGCGTGATTATGTTCATTTTCGAGATTCTCCTTCAAATCAACCTTCTCCCGGGCAAATCTTTGTTCAAGTTCATTTCTCTCACGGGTAAAAGATTCTCGCAGTTCAGCTTTTTCACGGGCAAACTTCTGCTCGATTTCTGCTTTTTGCTCGACAAAGCTTTGCTTCAGACTCGCTACTTCCTTGGCATGAGCCTGCTTAATCTCCCATGTCTCGTTGGTGTATTCTTCCTCCATCTTAGATTTCTCCTTTTTAAACTTATTCTCCAGCACACTAATCTGCTGTTGATGAGCGCTCTCAAGTTCAGATCGTAACATTGTCCACTCATGCTGGTTCTTTTCCAAGGCAGCTACTTTGGTGTTATTCTGCAGCTCCCATTCCACCTTATCTATTCTAAACTGCTGCTCCAGTTCTGCCTTCTCGTTCATCAACTTCAACTCTACCTCAGTTTTTTCTGCCTCGATGGTTTGAAGCTTTTCTATGAGTCGTTTCTCCTCCGTTTCCATTTTCTCCTTCTCCTTGTCTAGCTCTCCCTTGAACAGCCTCTCCAGCATTTCTTTCTCTCCTCTGTGCTCTTCTTCCATTTCAGATTTCTCGCTCTCGTATTCCGATATCAGCAGCTCCCGTTCTTGCCTGAATCCGCTCTCCAGCTCTTTCTTGAGGCTTTCCTGCTCGCTTCTAAGCGACCGTTCTAAATCCTTCATCTTATCTTGATACTCCTTCTCCAACTGCTCTTTCTCCAGGTGAAAACTTTTCTGCAGTCCTTCCATCTCTCCGGTAAACTGCGCTGTGAGGTTTGCCAGCTCGGTATCATACCTCTGCTTTGTTTCGTAACTCTCAGAGGTAAGAGAACCCGTCAAACCCTCAATTTCGTTCCTCAGATCTTGAATGGAAGTTTCTTTTGCCTTCAGCTGGGCCTCCTGATCCTTGACCTTATCACCAAGCTCTTCCACCTTTCCTTGGAACTCTGTTAATGCGATTTTCTGATCGGACAGCAACTTTTCTTTCTCACTGATCGACGATTCTTGTTCTTCTACTCTAGCTTTATGCGTATTGATCTGTTCCTCTTTTTCTTTCAATTCACCCTCCAATCTCTCAATAACTTCTGAGTAAGAATGAAAGCAAACAACTATTTAACTGTCACAACTGATAATGCAAGAAGTAAAACAAAATATGGTTAATCTAACATTCTCTGCTCGCATTAGTTCGCTACAAGGCAAACCAATAGCGGATATTTTACTGGTTTACTACAACCGTAACGAACTGGTAGGCTTTCTCACTAACTAAAAGTAACAAAGGCAGGAGCTATTTCCGGCAAAACTTAAAATACATGAAAATCCTGACATTTCCGATCTTAATGACGATTTACAAAACTGGCACGCATCAATAATGATAGCTGTCAGGTCAGTTTAAACATGTAACGTTGCTAAACAACCTGTGCAGATTGAAATCGGTATGATGGGCATATTCAGATACCAAGCAACTTAAAAATACTCATGTCATATCACCCATGACAGCAACACAGTTTATCTTCTAAGTACACTGTAACTTACTGCGTTGTTCTTGCAGTTCAGGGGAGTCATCTGGAGAGTGAAGAAAAGGCAGAGTAATAATTAGAAAAGTGACAAATGGACAGAAACACGCAGAACTCATTATTGCAGTTATTCTGCGGGAGAGCTAAAGAAAATACATCTTAGGTTCACGCCTTTTAATGATAACAACTAAGCAGACAGCTCTTGTTAACTAACGAAAGAGAAGTCTTAGTGGAACAAAACCGAAAATAACGAATCTTCCTTTACCGAAGGCAAAGACAACAAGAAAATCGAAGAAGTAAGCCAGTCGTTCGATCGATAGAAGTCCCGACACAAATCTGTACACAACTCAACCTATGCATTGAACAAAAGTCACCAAACAGAGACCACAAAGACATGGGAAGGAAAACAGGCGTGCTGAGTTAAGTCCTGTCGCCATAATCAAGAAATGAAGGTAATTCCAGTGATTTTTCCATTTATGTAACACGTAAGACGTAAGGAATGGATGAATCAAATAGACCAGGTCAACTGGTGCTTACAATAAAACTGTTACAAGAACACAAAAAGCCCACAGGATCACAAGAAAATAGACCAGGCAGAGATAGGAGAAAAGACCTTTAGCATTAGTAACGATGATTTCTTCGTCGACTTCTACTGACCACGACAAAGGAGGAGCATCATCATCGGTAAACTGACCTGCTTAAAGAGAAAATTGAAGAGAAACATAACATGGAAAGTAAAGATAACAGCTAAGAAGGATGAGACTTGCACGGAAGATGCGGCCATAGATTCTTCGGTTGAACCATGGATGTAAAAAAAAAAAAAAAATTCAGAAAGTAGCAACACAGAGAAACCAAAGAAATAAGTGTAAAACTGTACCTTGCGGATTTAAAATCATCCACAAAGTGGCAAACTTTCGAGTTTACCTTTTTTAATTTTTTGTTTGTTTGTTTGTTTGTTGTTTGTCGTCGTAAATTTCCACAGTTATCTAGTCCTACAAAAGTGCCTGGTAACATTACGCAAATGAATCATTCAGGAATTCTTCTAACGCCTGACGATATCACGACAAGAATTGTAAAGAATTCACTGCAACCAGAATATGAAAGGAAGATATAGACCTAACATATGAACTTACTGCTGTATCAACTAAAAACAAATCAAGAGAAGGTGAAAGTTTGCATTTTCAATAGTTTTAGGTAACCGTACTAACGATTTACACGACTGGGTCATATCTTCACTTCCTAGTAAAGCTGCCAACCTAATAGATAATTACTATAGTCTGCGTCCGTCATTCTCCGGTAAACAAGAGTCTACGAGGGTGATGCGAAACATTCGTTCTTCTACTGTTTAAAAGTGCGTTCATTAAGTTAACATATCGTTAGTAAGACTCCAACTTCGTTGGATTTGTTAGAAACGCTACCAACGTATTAACTGAGTAAATGATTACTACTGATGCGGGTGGCAGGTCAAACAATTCAGCAAGTGTAATCTAAGTGCCGTCAAGAGTGAAGCGCTCTAAATAGTGCACAATTTTGCGCATTCGAGGAGCAGAAATACACAAAGATTATCATTGTGTTAGTCTTCCAAACCTCTCAGCCGATAAGACTGACTGCTGATACCCGTGCTAGCTACATGAATGTTACTGATTGTGTATTTTTCTCCCTAACAGAATAAATTAGCTTGGTTAAAATATCTCGTCACCAGCAAAGAATGATGGATAGAAATCAGACTGAGGCAGACCCCATTAGCTTAGCCTGATAGAACGAAAATGTAGAGACAAAGCGAAGATGATCACAAGTTAAAGTGCGATGCTCGAGTTTTAACACTTTCAACTTCTTTGCGTTAGAAAGAGCAAATCTCAACTAGCAAAGATCACAATTAAGCCTTTAGTTTCACCATCTAGCTAGCCATGATAACTCTATCCCCGCCCCCTTTAATGCTCAAGCGACCACATACCCCTAAAAAAAAGAAAAAAAAAAACTCTGACGCATAAAGAGTTCTGGAACAAGAGTCCATTCAATGTAGATGCCAATTTGCGCGCGCATCGATTATGGGTTGCTTACCCGCGTCCTCATTTGACCCGCCATCACCGCTGACTCGCACAGAAGGAACGCGCGTACCGTCCGGCTGGTCAGCGGTATCCGACTCTTCCGACGATGTCGCACCCTCCGTTGCCCCCTCTTTTTTCCGTTTAATAACTACGGGTTTCGTGTAATCGGAGAGTACCGAACCATGCCGATGTACTTTTTGGCTGTCCTGTCGTTTCCGATGACTGTGTCGTCGTTTCACCGAACTGTTAACTTGCTGCGTAAGAGCTTCGCACTGAAGACGCAGTTCATCGTTCTCGTCTCTAAGTTCCTACGAGAAAAATAAATAAAAATACGCGAGTGTTAATGAATTTAGCACCTTAGGCTAATAAGGTCACAATACCAACGTAAAAATATCGAGAAAATAAAACATAGGTATTACTTAGAAAGCGAACTGATGAAACCGGTGAGCTGCGCACAGACTGAAGCAGAGGAGTTTCACCCTTTCACTCCCACGATCTCATTAATAATAATAATATTGTTTTTTTTTTTTTGTCTGCCATACAACTCTAATATTGTTAGTTCGGACAATTTGGTATCGGATCAACCAATAATCCCCTGATTGATATTTTTCTCTGTTCTCGTCACTTGTCTGCGCGATATCGTGTTGATATTGTAAGGCGAAATTCTTTCCTGATCACTCATGGGAGTCAAAGAGAGACAAATCCATGTGAGAGGGAGAAAGAAGGAGCTAAACCTAGCACCTCCTGTCCAACACGTTCATAATAGGAACACCTGTCTCAATTATTTTCCCCTCGATCCCTGCTAAACGGGCATAAGTAATGAATTCTGATCAAAATGTTCGTGAAAATCGTACCCAGTCGCCAGGCTTTATTTCAGTCAGTTCTACTATGAAATTTTAACGAGTCAAACTCACCCTATTTATACGTTCCAATTCCCTCACGGTTTTGCTGTTTTTCTCATTCTGCTGCTGTTTTAGAAGCTGTTGCTTCTCGACTTCAGCAAGCTGCAGAAAAAAAAACCAACAAACCAATATTGAGAACGAAAGAAAACACGCTGAGAAGAAAATGACAAGAAATTTTAAGTTACCCTGTGTGATAGATCAGACATGGATTCCAATTCCTTCTCCAGTTTCTCCCGGTTGTTTTCTGACTCGATAAGTTTTTCCTGAGCATCTGATAGCGTCTTCTCCAGCCGTAAGATCTCCTGTTAAATATACATACATATATATATAAAAAAAAGGATCGAAATGAATAAATTATAGTTAAAAATAAGCTGTAGACAGCTTAAACTGGGGGCAATGTTCACGCTGGTACTTGTGTGCCACAAAACAATGGTCTCTACGTATTTAAAAAATTCATTAAAATTCAGAACCCCTTATCGTTAGAATGATTAATACACTACAGTTTATGGACTGATGACTTGATAAAGTACTTAGTTCTTATTAACCGAGCGGGAGGTCTGTATGGGAGAATCTTGACCGAGGTCGCCAGTACAGACCGAACACAGTGAGGTCTGTACCAGCGACCGAGGTCAAGATTCTCCCATACAGACCGACCTAACTCGGTTAATAAGATGTTTATTATATGGCTGTGTCTTATATGCCAATTTTTTATATTCTTTGTACCTTTTTTTTCCTAGACCGGTCTAGATGCCGGTCTAGATGGGAAATCTAGACCGCTTTCAATATTGATTTCAGCCAATCAAATTCGTGAATTCGGTTGTTCACAGTCATCGTGAGACACAGCCATACAGTAATTGACGTTACTTGCCCCCAGCGCGGGAAAACGCATGCGACCAAGAGTGGATAGTCTCCGTTTTTTGTATCTGATTGGTTGATAATATAGCATGCAGGAAAACGCGTGCGACCAAGAGTGGATCGTTCCTGCTTTTTGTATCTAATTGGTTGAAAACATGGCGCGCGGGAAAACACATGCGACCATGAGGCGATTGTAGGTGGAGTTGTTTTCTTCAAGTTGAGAGGGTAGCTGATAATCTTAGTAGCACAAAACCAAATTCATTTTTTTATTAGATTCGACAAATGAGCTTTTTGAAACTTCATTATGGGCGGTGTTGTCCTTCACTTGAGCAGGGGATACGTTGAACCAATAAAAATCCTTGAAATAAAAACAAACAAAACAAAAAAAAGCAAAGCGCACCTCCTCGGCCTCAGCGAGTTTAGTCCTTAATCGCTGTTCTTCAGTCTTGGTATTATGAAGTGACTCCTCCAACATAGATTTCTGTTGATTTGCGTTCAGCACAAGTTTATCTCGGTCCTCAGTTAACGTTTGTTGTAAGTTCTGAATTTTCTCCGTGTAGTGTGACTCTTGATCCCTAGGACGGGTAAATGCGGGACAATTTGTTTATTACAGTTAAATCGTTTTAGTTTAGCATACTCCCCCCCCCCACCCCCAAAGATAGTTCAGTAATCAATTACTAGAAAACGGCAAAGAAGCTTCAAAATCTCATAAGCAAAGAGAATTTTTTTGTTTCATCAACGTAACTCCAACTAAATAAGTCTGTTAATTCTCAACACATGTTTGCTGAATAGTCCTTTATACAGTTATGGGCTTGGTGGCCAAGCCTTTGAACAGGAGTGAGGGTAAGGGTGACCTTTTTACGAGACAGATGTTGCTGCTTTTCAAATGCAAATACCTTTGTTATCATGCTAACTAGATACTGGTCTCTATCACAACAATGTCACCCTTAGCCTCACTTCAAATCAAAGGCTTGGCAACTTAGTACACAACTGTAAAATGGTCTATTGTTTCCTAAATTTACGAAAACTTACATGTTAGTCAATACTTAGAGTCAAGAAGGCTAACGCCGCAGGGCTCGAAATTAACGGTAACCGGTTAACCAATGGTTAGTAATTTTCAACGTTTGGTTACTAAAAATGTGTCCAACTAACCCGACATGATAGGTAAAACATTGGTGGACTTCGGGACAAAGAGCACGTAGACCCGACTCTCAGAGGAATACTTAGAATACTCAAGTTGTTAAATCAACTTAACTCTTTTTAGAGAATGTGCCGTAGATGTAATGTTCTTGACTAATCATGGTAAACGAGAGGGAAATAAAATAAGTGCATAATTGTCAACGTTTTTGAGGTCACCATGCCATTTCAGCTACTCTTTAATTTGTCCTAGTCGTTACTATCAAAATGTTGAATATTTGAGATATCGTAACTTGTGAGCTTGGATACCAAACTTTATAATTTGGTTAGTAAAAAAGATGTCTACTAACCCGAAGGGTTAGTGCTCCAAAAATTAAATTCGAGTCCTGGTTTAACGGGATATTAAATAATTCTTACTTGAAGGACATTTTGTTAAAAAATTCTACTCTGCCGCTCTTAACCAAGTGACCATGACAAAATTTCTCCTAAAAGCATCAATACAATATTAAGCAGACAGGAGATGAAAATAAAGGAAAATATCAATTAGGGATAATTATGTGAGTCGATCCAATACCAAACCCTCCAAACTAACATCTAAAGATTTGTACGGCAGGCGGTAAGGAGAATTACTAGCGAGATCTTGGCTGTGAAAGGGTTCGGTAAACGCGGTAGAGCCTCAATACTACAAGGTCTCTTTCAGTATGGAGGTAATTTTTGAGCTGGTTCGTTAACAGGTGGCAATACTTGTTTGTTTACGAAACCAGTCCACTCCTCTTGTATTTCTCCAACACTTTTTCAGGGACCTCTCTCAGATCTGAGTGACTCGCACAAAGCGTTTACCCACGAGTCAGTAGAGTTTGTGTAGCTTACAATGTCGGAATTATTCCTTCCAGTGGACAAGAAAGAGGAAAATCAGAAGCTTGGAGACGAATTGTGATGAAAAACAAAATAATAAAAGTTATTTAAAGAAATTACGGAAGTGATTGGGGTAATTGACATTTGATATTGAAATGAAACTGCCATTCAACCACCCAATGTTTGCCGCGACAAATGGACTTGTTGAGCAGAGGAAAAAATTAATTTATTCTTCTTCAAAGATTTACCTCATTTTTGTTTCATGTAGTTTCTCTAATTTCTGTGCTGTGTCCTCGCTTTCAACAATAAGCATTTCTTTCTCTTCCGTGTATTTGACCAAGTTCTCCTTGAGGGCATCTCGCTCGGCGGCGACCGACTCCACTTGAGACCTGAGAAGAAAAATTTTCAACTGTCTTACTTGACAATTTTGCGGTAAAGTGTTTAAAAAATATATAAATTAAATTTTGAGCCAGCAACTGCAAATAATACTGATTTACAACATTCTGACTATTTCCTACACCATAGACAAAACAAACCATTAGAGCTCAAGTATAAAAGTGATCTCCCGCAATAACGAATACCCAACAATATTACTTTGCCCCGCTTCACCCGAGGCACAATAAAATTTCAATAAGAATTTTTAATTAAACAAAAGAAAAAAAAAATTAAAAATCAAGCAGAGGATGTCAGCGCAGACAAAAAAAACCTAAACAGAACAATGAAAACGGAATCGTTGTCATAAATCTGTCAGAATATAATGAAGACAAAAAACTTTTAAAAGCTCGGTAATTTTGAAGTATTGGCGCGCGACAACAAAAGATTTGTACCTTGACAGCCGTGAAATGAAATCAGACAGCCGTTTGCTTTTGTCCTTCTCCGACAAAAAAGTTTCTGACTCAGCCTCGTATTGCAAAGCAGATTCTTTTCCTTCGATTTGTCTTATTCCAAGCGGGGACTTCGCCATTCGTGCTACGAATTTTCAAGCCTCTACGGGCCAAGTATCGCCATTATTGACTAACTATAATGCACACGAGCTAACAACGCGACAGCAGAAACAAAACTGAGATGTACAGCACATGCGAAATCGTCATACACAACAGAAAGGGGACGGACAGTGTCTCCATTTGAGATCATTGTGCTTTCAAGTAACTACACCCTTGAAAAACCCGCCATAAGTGGGGGCGCGGACGGAATACGAACCAATCAAAACAAGGGAGAATATTAAAACTTCTCCACCCAAGCGCTTTCAGCAACAAAACAAACTAGTACCTGCTCGGAGAAAAAAAAAAAAAAACAGAAATGACGCCATTGTACGCCCTAGAAAAAAAAATGGGTCGCCTTTTCCATCTTATCAAACGCAAATTTATTCCATCAATAAAAGGAAAAAACAAAGAGCTTGTCGGCAAGTGTAAACAAATTTATAGAAGTCTTGAGATTTCTTCAATATTCCTTCGCGCATCTGGAAATGCGACATGTGTAAATACGCCAGTTATCAACGGGCAATCAATTAATTATTTCTGGCTTGTAGAAAACTTTCCGTCCTGTAATGAGTTGAGATCCCACTGCATGATACAAGAACACGACGCTGCCCTAAACTCAAGTTACACAGATGATTTCGAGCGAGATCCGAATTATGCAAAGGTTTTGGCTGAGCTCGGATATTCTTGCCTTCGCTGTTCTTCAATTTGCTATCACAATTTCTTGGAGAACAATCTTCACGAACGGCACGAAAATTTCTAAAGAGGTACGATTGCTTGTTCAGTTCCTTTGTATAAGCGTGAAGCACTGTAGTTATTTGTAACACAACCCGCTGTTTTCAAATTTGGAATCAAGCCTTCGTTGCAAGTCGCGCACTGTCTTCTAAAGCACAGCTAAAGATTTTGAACAATCTTAGTGTAAGCACAAGCCAGATTCCAACTTACTTTAAATGGACAACTTCGTGTTTGTAGATATTCACTATAGCTTTTGGTAAGCCTGGAATGCAACAAAACAAAGCAACCGAGTTAAGAGTCACTGAATTTTACAGAATTTATTTCACTTGAGCTTTTTTAATTCAGAAGAATATTTAACAATTATTCCACGAGCGCGCGTTGGATATGAGATGATAGATAGCCAACGAGGCGCGTAGCGCCGAGTTGGCTATAATCATCTCATATCCAACAAGCGCGAGTGGAATAATTGTTTTATGAAAAACGTTAAATTAAATTATTAAATTTTATTAAATTTTTAGCTCCCGTTTAATTTTAAGCTGATATGTCCGCTAACCATATTTGTAGATTATGGTATATTGGCTGATATACCATAATGGCTAAGCCAATAAAAAGTCTTGAATTGCATTATCCAATGATCTAGTTTTTAATAATACCTATTATAAAAAACTGGATCATTGGATAATGCAATTCAAGACTTTTTATTGGCTTAGCCATTATGGTATATCAGCCAATATACCATAATCTAATATCTGTACAATGAGTCCAGGGTTCGACACTAACTTTTCAACTTACTAGCCCAGTGGCTAGTGACATCTTAGATGATACGACAATGTCAGTTCGTTTACTAGCCAAACTGGCTAGTGGAAACCAAAAACCACTAGCCAAAACTGAATTTCTACTAGTCTGTGGCTAGTGGGCTACCGTTAGTGTCGAGCCCTGATTGTAACATCCGGTTTCTTCTTACAAAATAAAGTCGAGAAGATTTGTCTAATATCTTGGAGGTGTTTTTTTTTTTTTTTAATAAAACAATTATTGACTAGTGATCAAGTCACGCTATTCCACTCACCATCACTCTGCTCGTCCACGACAGATTCCAGTAAGTTTGTGAGCTGATGAAGACTCACTTTGCCCTCCGCATCTGCATCTAGATGCTGTTTAAAGACAAATCAAGGTTAACATTATGGTCCACAAATATTCAATTCGCGGTATATTCCTTGGCTGAATAATTAAACAATAACATAGAGTGGTGACATTTTGTACAAATAAAACACTACACATGATCCTTGTACATTAAGCATGGTACAAAACGTTATTGCGAGTATGACAAAGCAATAATTTTCAACTAGAGTGTCCAAAATTATCAGGGACACCTTTGGTTTCCCTTTATTCGTTAGGTGATTGCTCCAGAGACTCGCACCACTTTTTCAACCAATCAGATTCACCAAACCTGGTCACCCGCGTTTTTTCCCGCGCTTCAACCAGTTTGCTTGTTTCTACTTTGAGTTCTCATTAGCTCCACGTAATATTTTCCTTGCTATGATTGGCTGCTGTGATCGCTTTGGTTTTGGTTTTGGTTCTGGTTTTACGACACTCATTCATAACGCGTTCCAACAGTCAATTGTATTTCAGTAAAGCTGACAACAGACTCTACCTGTAACAATGGGATAGCTTCGTTCAATCCCTGGGCCATCCAGAAATCGACGATGTCTTCTTTTTTAGCAAAACTAATAAGTAACGGAAATAAAAACACGATGAAAAAATCTAGCGGCAGGATGTGGTTATTTATACAGTTGAACAGTCTATAACAGAAAAAAATCACACCATGCACCTTCTACCATAGCCTGTTCCAGGTTAGTAAACAGCACTGTAGTAAACAACACTGTAGTACGGTGGCAGAGGAGTGAAAAACGAGGGAGGTTTGGGTAAAGTCAAGTACCCGATTCGAACCAAGCCTCCTTCGCTTTCCACTCATCGCTACTATCGCACCGTTTGCAATTTAATAATGATGATGATGATGATGATGATGATGATGATGATGATAATAATAATAACAATAATAGTAAAACTTATATAGCGCCAAAATCAATATTGCTATTTTCATCAGCGCTTAAATTACCTAGACTACTTAATTTGTAAAAACTGCATAAAACCTAATAAAGACGAGATCGAAGAGGACATAAAATTACAAAAAACTTTCTGGAAAATGTCTCGAGTGTATTTTTTTAATATACTACTGAGGGGCTACTCATTTGTACCCGCTCGAAATCCATTAGCTTTTAGCTGTTGCTTACCCCGTTCTTTCTGGGTCCAGCAGAGAAAACAGATCTGCAATAAGCAACACAATATGTGATTAGGGAATGGCCTACATGTATGTAGAAGACTGTCCACTACATGGGGGAGGGAAGGGGGGAGGGACGGAGAGGGAAGGGGGAGGGACGGGAAATTGTGGCATGCAATTTGACACCAACGTTTTCAAAGGGTACAAATGTTTTCCTTATAAAAGGACTTTTAATTGAAATACAAAAGAAAAAATTCACAGAACTCAACACAATCAGAAATAAAAATAATAAAATGAAACCAAAAAATTGATGGAAAATGATCAAAGGAAAGGTAAGGAAAGTACAGTGTAATGATCGAGTCTGTAAAAAGTTAGAGAACATTTTATCATTTCTTTGGCAGAATAACAGGGCAAGTTATCCAATTATTGAGTGTTCTCATGTATTTTGCTACACCTTTGTCAGTAAGTGATTAAATGGTCATTGTCAAGAAATGATTTTGACTAAGGACGGGATGCGCTTTATTAGCTATCGCCATTAAGGAGGCTGAGGAGGCCTTTGTCGAGGGTCAACACAAAATGGCCACTGTAGGGTGGCATTACGAAGTACACTGTAAAATAGATATGAGAACTGCACTGATGGTGAGTAGAAGAGTTTAATGGGATAAAGTTTAGAAGCCCTAGACAATGGATACCATAATGGTACATGTACTACATACAAATCAATTATGTACACAGATCTGATTGCAAGCTGAAAGTGCTGTTGTGAGATTGAAAAGTCTTACCAAATGATGAACTACTTCCTCCAGTTCTGGAGAGAAAAAACGAGTCATCATTGTTCAGAGATCTCCTCTGACCCTGCAAAGAAAAAAATTCCCCATCTGTGTGAGTCACCCTGTCAATCACTATTCTCTATTCACATTACATAACACAAAAATGTTAAGAAGTCAAGCCTTCCTCTTCCAAACTGGTAAATGTGAAAATTCTCCTGACAGCATCTGTAACTTTACAAGCCAACAATTTATGAGAATAGGTTAATTCATCACCTACACAGTGGATGGTCAAAGTCTCTGAACAAACACTCCAAAATGAAATGTAGAACTCCCCTCATTATATACACAATTACAAATCTCATTCCTGATTGGTTGGTGATGCCTGAATAACTAGGTTATACATAAAGAGCACAATAAGGAATTTCTGTGTTGCACGCGCTTTAAAATATAAATATACATGGGGTACACCATGTACATTAAAAAATATAGTAAAATGAATCTTGTAAACTTTCAAAGCACCACTCATGCCCCATAAATGACAAAACCCATGAGCAGTTCATGTGGTTTCCTGTACAAAGTGAAAATTACTAGTCAGATTTCAGGAGTTGGATGAAAACAGTTACACTGTACAGGCCTAGGTAAGTCAAAACTAAAGTATGAATTTTTAAGCTTCAATACAACCCTTAAAGAAAAAGAAGCTCAACTGAAACTGAACAACAGCTGAATTATTATTAGACAAGTGCATTATGGAAAAAGAACAGTTCAAAGTACTGATCCCTACTTTAGTAGTAAAATCTTCTGCTGGTGCTTGATTGTAAGGTGTGGACTGCTGTTTTTGTTCCCATTCAGGTTCTATGTCCGACTGTTGGATGTCTTTAGCCACAAACAACCCATGTAGGAACTCATTGAAGCTCACTTGGCCATCACCATCATCATCCAGCTCCTCAAACAGGAGAGCCAGCTCCTGAAATCGGAACCAAGAGGTGGCTCAGGATAGGTTTTACATTTTCAACCAGGAAAAGTGGAAAGTATATCCTACATTGTTATTTAACTATTTAATTAACTCCCGCAAGTAATAAACATGTAAAATCTGCCAATAATATCCATACATTATCCAGCAAACAGGTAAACACTAATAGGAATACTCTAACTTATTAGGCAGATTAGTAAATCTCGATCTAAAAACCAACATCTCACCACTTATTTACAAGGAAATGTGTAGGGGAGAGAATTAATAATTAGATCTCAGTAGTTAAAGGGTAAAGAGGCAATAAACTTGAAACTTAAAACTTGAACTAGCCACCAGTTCTCTGATGAACCCAATAAACAGTTGCTTCCACACTCAGTCATTTGTTTCTTTTTTTTTAAAAAAATTATTAATGGTATCACAAACATTCCCCCTCATCTCTTACAAAGTTAGGATCTTTTTATTTTGTCACCTAAAGTTACCATGGCAATAAGACAACCTCTTAAAACTGCTCTTAAAATGAGTGTTATGTACCTATAAGTCAAAATGACAGCAGTGGCCCACAAAGTATATGTCAAATTGCAATCAACATATCCAAATTCATCTTTTGGGAAAGTTAAAAAAAAAAAAAAAAAAAACTGCACTGCGGTTGCAGAGCTATACTCAGGAATTAGATGGTTCCACAAACCTGTTCATTCATGGAGTCCATGCCAATGTGATCACACACCACAGACAATTCATGTCTGTCCAAGTAACCATTTGCACCAACATTCACTTCAGTCCAGATAGCTCTCAGCTGTTCTTCTTCAGTTGGTGATTCATACCCTAAGAAATGATCATGTTTACATTTGTATTCATCATGTCCAGTAAGTTCCCCTTCTTTTCTCCACTGCCCCCTTCCTTTCAAATGGTCAAAAATTTTTAAGACCCCTGCAACCTAAAAACACTCATACTTTGGGGAAAGGATTGGGATCTTTCAGTCATTCAAAGCACCTCTAGAAAATGTTTAATAAGTATCTCTTGATTTAGCAGTTCATAGTAACTAAGTGTGGACATTCATTTGGCAAAAGGCACGATAAGTTCTAATTATGAAAAAATTATTCCAAAGATTAGTTTAACCTTGTGAGTGTACACAATGAAGATGAAAATATTACAATACACTGCAAATACCCAACTCCAGAAAGGCCTTCAGACATGCTGGTTTTTAGAAATAGGCAGGACTTACAGATTAACTCTGAAAACAATTGCTCAATTTTGTTGAACACATGCAGTCTGCATTTCTTAGTGGAAAAGGCTTGTACATAATTTACAATGAAAGTTACATCAACAGTTGTTCAATATATGCATATTTTGGTCTGAAACACTACAAGTACATTTATCTTGCCAAATAAATAATTATACCTAATTAAAACCATGATAAAATTTAATATCTTCATCCAATGAAAATGTTCTCTTTCTGGTCTAATTTTAGAATTCATGTTGAGGGAGAGGAGAAAGAGGAGAGCAGGGCTCGACACTAACTCTTTAACTTACTAGCCAAGTGGCTAGTGACAACTTAGATGTTATGATGATTTCAGTTCGTTTACTAGCCAAACTGGGTGGTGGAAATTGAAAAACCACTAGCCAAAACTGAATTTCTACTAGTGTGTGGCTGGTTGGCTACTGTTAGTGTCAAGCCCTGGGAGAGGCTTCTACACTGATGTGAGAGAATAGTAAGTAAGAGTGTCAGAGTACAAAGGGGGGGGGGAGGGAATCAAAACCTTGAAGGTAAGGGACTTACAATGTAATGTATTATTTTGTATTAAAGAGGGAGGCTAATTAGACCAAGTTCTGTAAGTAAACGTCTCCAACATGCTTACAATCAAAGTTCAATTACATGTACCTGAATTAGGCTGTGGAGAACTTAAAAGTCCATTCCCCTCCAACACATCAGAGTCACTGGCTATGATCGAGTCCTCACGAGACTTCCTCTGTTTGGAATTATGGCGACGTATGCTGTTCCTCAGACTACTCTTTCTGCTTGATAGTCTTCTTTTTAACCTTGGTTTCTCCTGTATTAAAAAAGAGGCATGAAACACAATTACATAATTACACAGAAAATAACTGTTAGATGTACTGAGTGTACTTACGCAGCCCTGGCTTCCAGTGAACCTTTTTTCACGATCTATTGTAAAACTTCAAACTTGCAAGTTTTTTCCAGTGAAGTGAACTTAAGTTATGATCTCTACATGTTTTTGATAAATGTGTCCCTCCATTTTTTTCTACTTTTGCAGTTGGTGGGACCTAATACTGCTGGATGAACTCACTCAAAATAAGGCTACACTATATCAATCTGACTTTTTGTTCTAGGCAAATTCCCATTGGTGTTTTGTATTTCTTCATCACTGCTTTCCTGTATGCACTTGCTAATTTGATTTATTATTCCCACTGGGTGGAAGAGATCACACTACCTGCAGTATACATAAATGATACATACATACCTACATACATACATAGGTTAATTGAACACTCCCCCATAGGGGCTTTTCAGGGCCAACACCCACCCATCCCACCCAGGGGAGGACATCCACCACACAGTAATCTCATGCGTGGGAAATTAACGTCTCCTACCCCTAACTCTGCAGGAGACATGGCTTACGGTTTATCCGTCCTTATCTGAGAAGACTAGAATATCTATCCATTTCTTTCTCATTTCTATCCATAATAAAAAGGTAGCAAATTCTCCTCACTTATTCTAAGACCACGAGTATTGGTCTGGCCAGGGCTCTAACCCTCAACCTCCTGCACAACACAATCCGGCGCTCTAACCAATTGAGCTAACCAGGAGGTGGTTAGATATGGTTATGATATATGATATGATAGGTGGTTACGATATGAATACATGTCTGTCCTCACCTCTCTTGTGGGGCTCTCAACACGATCTGGCTCTGAAGTGACGTGAGCATCACTCATGCGGCTCTCTGGCTGACTTTCGATCATGCTCTCATCATCAGCAGAGTACAAATCTTCAGAGTAAGATGCCTCTGGTCGTGACCATCTTCCATAACGTTTCTCGTTCACCACTAGCTTGGGTGGTTCTGAAATAAGTTAAAACATTTATTGTTAGTAATTAAATGAATGAGACAGGTGTGATAAAAAGATCTTGAATGGAGAGAAACTAAATGTAAAACAAACACCTGTAACAGAATCAGATGGTTGTTCTTCATCCTCACTGGAGGATAACTGTTCAATTGCTTGAGAAAGCACAGCCACAAATCCTTCCTTGAAGTCATCAAATGTCACCTAGAACAAAAATGTCAACAGTACGTATTTCAACACAGTTTATGAATTTTGATGACAGTCAACAGACTACAATTGCACTGCAGTTTTATACAGTTGTACTGAAGCCTCAAAAAGGATGTACATGTAGCCAGGGTTACTTCATGAATTTGCCCTCTATGGCAAATGAATAAGTGAAAATAATGTCACTAAAATTCTTACTTGTGTCATATACTGCACTATACACTATGTAGGTTACAAAGAATGGGTTTCACAAGATGACCAGAAATTAAATAAAATCAGAATAACCCAAAGGTGTTTGTAGAATTAAAAAAAAGGCTTTTAAAGAATAAAAATAATACAATATTCTAAGTTGAAGATGTTAAGGTTCACTATATACATATACCTACTTCAAGTTTTCTGCCATCAACAGTGACCTCTTTTGTTAGATAATCACAAACTAGTTCTTTCATTATTATGGCCAAAAAGGAAAAAGTAAATTCTTTAAAATTTTTCAGTGAAAAAGCTTTTAAGCTCTCAAGTTGAACCTGTAGCTGAAATCTTAATCTTCACCAACAAAAACACAGAAAAAAACTGGACACACTAATGATGTCACTGTACAGGTGCTTTGAAGCCATTTAATATTCATCACACATTAAATCTTTGTAACTGTACATAAAAACAGAAAGGAGAAAACATGAAAATGTCTTGATGCACATCAAACTTTGTTTTTGTCATCAACCCTCACAATTAAAGTTATCCGCACTTCAAATTGTGAATCCATGTCTGAAAGATTTTTTCTGCTTCAGTAGCATTTCAATACAAACAACAACTCACTGATACTAGCAAAGCCACAAGCTGTTCTGAAGCAGTACACTTGTGTCACCTGTTGAATGTGACAATAGCTCTTGTTTTAAACTCAGAGAAACCTCTGGTTCACAATCGCAGCACCAGTTTTACAGACATTGCTGAGTCATTGCTTTACACAATCCTTTTTTCCATTTGGTTTCCAACAGAAAAATGCCATGAATAAAGGGCTGGTCTAATGACACTACGATGCCTTAGAATGCCAAATATTTCTATCATAATCTTGAGAGAAGCTGTAAATTATGTTTTTCTTTTAAAAGCACAGGTACCTCATGACTAGTTTGCATTATTTACTTACAAGAAAGGGTTGGATGAATTATTTCTCTGAGAAAATAAAACAGCTAATCTTCCTTTTTCCATTTTCAAACTCTGACTGGTTAAAATGTAAGAAGCATACTCTCAGGGCTTGCAAAACAAATTTATAAATATGGAAGATTAGAAATATGTGCAGTGAACTACCCTCAGCAGTATCAAACAGGTTGCCATTTCTAAATTGCCAAAGTCATTCCAGGCCTCTAGAGTGACCAGAACTTACTTTAATTTACATGTACACAAGGGCTGTAGATCGGAAATGTTGAATACATGTAAATGACACACTTGGTTACAAATGGTCTTTTTCTTTAATTAAAAGAGAAATGTAAAAGGTAAATTAGCTTTGAAAATATTTAACCCAACCAAACATAGAGAAGAAGGTCACATATATTACACTGTACATATTTTACACCTAACTTGATTTACATGTAGAACATAACACAACACAGCATTTAATAAACATTCCTAGTTTTTTCAAAGTCAAAGTGATAACTTTGGTGGCTTTGCAATAGCAGCAGATTTAATACTCACATTTTACAAATACATATCTAGATAGTGTTTGCATAGTGATAAATTAAACACAGCATAAAGCAAAAATTGGGCTGCGTGATAATTCATGGGCGGGGTACTTAAACTATTTCGAAACTCCTACCGTAATTCATCAATAAAATATTACATCAAGATTCACTCTCTGGGTACTCTACATGAAAATTGTTCCATTATTGCCCATTTTGCCACTCCTCATTGAGGGCATTTCTCAACAATAAGTTAGATAGACATGAACTAGTGAAACAGTATTATCGTATAATATAATCAGGGCTCGACACTAACAGTAGCCAACTAGCCACAGACTAGTGGAAATTAAGTTTTAGCTAGTGGTTTTCGATTTCCACTAGCTAGTTTGGCTAGTAAACAAGCTGAAATTGTTGCGACATCTAAGTTGTCACTAGCCACTTGGCTAGTAAGTTAAAAATTTAGTGTCAAGCCTTGATATTGAGTTTAAATGGGAAAAAAAAAATAAGCATCTGAACCAAGGTTAGAACTGAGACAAGAAATGGACAGCTCAGTGTTTCAGTATTAGTCTGTAACATTTTAACTTAGAAAGGGATTTCACATTAATTTTAATCCGCACCTAAGAGAAGAGAGGTTTTAATATTCATCTTCTCTTTGAAATTGGTCAACTGATTGCAGAGTGGAATATTTTCTTTACATTCCCTGACAATGCCTCAAACCAGTGAGAGCTTGGAATGAAAAAGAAGTACAGTACATGATGTAGCTCAAAGCCTCAATCAAATTGCCAACTGATTGCAGTCTTAAGGAAAACTGCTAACTAAAAGAAGCTTGTTAGGGTCTGAATTTTATGTGTCTAGTAAATATTAATCATTGAAGCCCTTCTCCAGCACCCAGTCTTGGTCTAGAAAAAGATATCTAACTGACAGAGGTGTCAGCTGGTATAAGTACATGTAGGCAGAGGAAGTAAAAATAGAATTGGTTGGGGTTTCCAGAGTAAATCAATTGTGTCAACTGATCATTGACAGATACTCAACCATTAGTCTACAGACATCTCTGTCCTCATCTTAACCAACTATTGATTAACATTACAAGATAATTTTGTTATATCAACTGGATTGATAATGTAACTTGGCCGCAGTAGAGAGTTCTTAAAGCTTACATTTTGAGTGTTAGCCCTTCATCAGAGCAGAAGTGTTAGTGACAGACACTGACTGAGGTTCAATTGACTATCAACCAACTGACAATCGATATAAAAGTAAGGATTTCTTAACCCTTTCACTCCCGAGATCTCATTAGTAATTCTCCTTACTGTCTTCCATACAATTCTCATGTTAGTTTGGAGAAGTTAGTATTGGATCAACTATTAATCCCCTTATTGATATTTTTCTTTACTCTCATCACTTTTGCACTTCATATTGTATTGAATATTGTAAGTAGAAATTCTGCCATGCTCACTCATTGGGGTTAAGGAGGAGGAGGTGGTGTGGCCGAGTGGTCAGGGTGCTGGACGTATAATCCGGTGTCCTGGGTTCAAGTCCTCCACCCTGCCACTCACTGGATTTGTTCTCGGTTGCCCCTAGTTCAACTCCTTGGCTGCGCTGATCTGTAAATAGCCCACTGGTCTGCCTCCTGCCAGTGGGGATTTTTAAGCACTTAGTTAGTCTACATTGTGGCTG